GTAATCAAATGAGATGTTTGTCCAAATTTTCTTTCACACTTGTCACATGCATAGTCTTTACGTCCTTGATGGACCGTCTTTTCATGCAAAAGTAAAGTCGATTTGAGTCCAAATTTCTTCTCGCATTTGTTGCATGCAAAATCTTTTCGACCCTCGTGGACTGTTCTTTGGTGTTTCAACAAAACTGATTTTTGTATAAATTTCTTCCCGCACTCATTGCATGCTAAATCTTTGCGACCCTCGTGGACCGTCCTTTGGTGTTTGATCAAATGTGCTTTTTTTTCAAATTTCTTCTCGCAATTAGTACATGCAAAATCTTCCCGACTTTCGTGAACTGTTACTTGGTGTGAGAGTAAATTTAATTTTTTTCCAAATATCTTCTCGCACTTATTGCATGGGAAGTCTCGGCGACTTTTATGTATTATCTTTTGGTGATCGATCAAATGCGATTTTTTTATAAATACATCCGCGCACTGGTCGCAGGAAAAATCTTTGCGAACCTCATGAACTTTCTCTATATGCAATAGCAAACCATGTTTATTTCCGAATCTTTTCGCGCACTTTTCACACAAGTAATCTTTGAAAATTTCGTGGAATATTTTTTTGTGCTTGACCAAAGTTGATTTATTTTCAAATTTCTTGTTACACTTTTTACATGAGAAAACGTTGCGATTTTTGTGTACTAATTTTTGGTGCGTAAACAAACTTGACTTTTTCACAAATTTCTGTTCACACCTGTCACATGCCAAATCGTCGCGACTTTTGTGTTCTAATATTTGGTGTCTACTCAGATGACTTCGGAACTCAAATTTTTTTTTGCACTTATCACATGCGTAAATTTTTCGTTCATTGTGAGTTGTGCCTCGGTGTGATGTCATGCTTGATTCTAGTATAAATGGCTCCTGACCGATATCACATATGCAGTTTTTTTCGTCTAAAATAACAATATCATGTTCACCTAAATTATCTTTTGAGCAAACTTCTTCGACTTTCTTCATAGTTTCATCCATTTTAGTAACTCAATGAAACGACTTTTGATTTGGAACCTTGGAAATGAGTTAATTTTATCTTTTGTTATTATTGCTTGTTTCGTTGGAAAGATAACATTCAAACTAATTTATTTTTATTATAAGCATGTTCAGTGCTTCAAAAGGCAATGTCAATAACGTTTATTTTCATATTGTTTACAATCAAGTTACCGATTTATCTATTTATATCCTAACAATGTTTGAAGCAATTTAAAATTCTAATATGTCGATGATTTCTTCGAGGAATTTTTGGGTCTTCTAAAACTGAAAATTTTCAAGAAATCTCCCGACAGATAGCATCAATTTTACACATAATGACATGCAGTAAATAATATATTTATAAGTGTGTGATAAAAAATGTTGATATTTCTTTTAAAATTGGTAAACGTCTCCACGATCCACCACTGTGGGCAGCTCCTTGTTTGTCAAAAATGACTATAGGGATGTGGGAGTTCGAGTCGAATCTGAAAACACCACAACGTCAATGTAGAAAGGTGTATTTTACAAAAACATATGTATACATTTACAATTGTCAATCATCATTTATTCTCGCAGTTGTCTTTTGGGTAATTTTTGCAACCTTCGTGTATTTTCCTTTGGTGTCTAAGCAATTGCCCTTTTTGTCCAAATTTCTGTTCACACTTATTACACGCGCAATCTTTCCGACCTTCATGTATTGTCCTTTGGTGCAAAAGCAAATCTACTTTTCGTCCGAATTTCTTCTCGCATTTGTCGCATGCATAATCTTTGCGACCTTCATGGATTGTTTTTTGATGGATGAGCAAATGCTGTTTTTGAGTAAATTTTTTTTCACACTTGTCGCATGCGTAATCCTTGCGACCTTCATGAACTGCAACTTGGTGTCTGAGCAATTGCATTTTTTGTCCGAATTTCTGTTTGCACTTGTCACATGCAAAATCCTTCAGACCTTCATGGACTGTCTTTTGGTGGACGAGCAAATAATGTTTGGTTCGGAATTCCTTTTCGCAGTTTTTGCATACAAAATCTTTACGACCTTCGTGTATGAACTTTTGGTGCTTCAACAAATCTGATTTAGTTCCGAATTTTTTCTCGCACTTGTCGCATGCATAATCTTTGCGACCTTCATGAATTGTTTTCTGATGACTGAGCAAATTCGTTTTGTTTCCGTATTTCTTCTCACACTTGTCACAGACAAAATCTTTACGACCTTCGTGGACTGTTCTCTCGTGCGAAAGTAAAGTCGATTTGAGTCCAAATTTTTTTTCACACTTTTCGCATGCGAAATCTTTGCGACCTTCGTGGACTGTTATTTGGTGTCTGAGCAATTGCTGCCGATCTCCAAATTTTTTCTCGCATTTGTCACAGTCGTGATCTCTGCGACCTTCGTGGACTGTCCTTTGATGGTAAAACAAATTCGATTTTTGTCCAAATTTTTTTTCGCACTTGTCACATACATAATCTTTGCGACCTTCGTGAACTATTTTTTGGTGCTTCACCAAGTCTGATTTACTTCCAAATTTCTGTTCACACTTATCACATGCGTAATCTTTCCGACCTTCATGTACTATCCTTTGGTGTTCGAGCAAATTTGATTTGAATCCAAATTTCTTCTCGCATTTGTTGCATGCAAAATCTTTTCGACCTTCGTGTACCGCCTTGAGGTGGAAGAGCAAATTAGATTTTTGTGTAAATTTCTTCTCGCACTGTTTGCATGCGAAATCTTTACGATTTTCGTGAACTGTTTTCTGATGACTAAGCAAATGCGCTTTTTGTCCGAACTTCTTCTCGCACCTGTCGCATAAGTGATTTTTTGTACCTTCATGAACTATTTTTATGTGCGCGAGCAAACCATGTTTATTTCCGAATCTTTTCGCGCACTTTTCACACAAGTAATCTTTTAAAACTTCGTGGAATATTTTTTCGTGCTTGAGTAAAGTGGATTTATTTTCAAACTTTTTCTCGCACTTGTTGCACCTGAAATCTTCGCGATCTTTGTGTACCAATTTTTGGTGCGCGAATAAACTTGATTTTTTCACAAATTTCTTTTGGCACTTGTCGCATACAAAATCTTTGCAACTTTTGTGTACTGATATTTGGTGTCTACTCAGATGACTTCGGAACTCAAATTTCTTTTCGCACTTGTCGCATGCGTAATTTTTTCGTTCATTGTGAGTTGTGCCTCGGTGTGATGTCATGCTTGATTCTAGTATAAATGGCTCCTGACCGATATCACAATTGTAGTTTTTTTCGTCAGAAAAAACAATACCATGTTCACCTAAATCATCTTTTGAGACAAATTCTTCGATTTTCTTCCTACTGTCGTCCATTTTAGTATCTGAATTAAACGACTTTTTGAGTTGCTACCTTGGAAATTAAATTCAAACTAATTTATTTTCACTACTGTAAGCACGATCAGTGCTTCGAGATGCGATGTCAAAATTGTTCATTCTCATATTGTTTACGATCAACTTACCGATTTATTGGAAACTAAGTATTACAGATTAAATTTCTGATAGACAACATAGTAAAAAACATCAAATCATCTGTTGAAAGTTATTCAACTCCAAGGGAACCTACAACTAATCTCGTGTTTAGAGAAACAACAATTATATTTAGCTACTCAATTTTACGGAAAATGTTCCAAAATCGCATAAAAAGCGCAATACATCGATAAGAAAGTGAAATACCGTGAAATCGCACAAATCGACGTTCATCTCTCTGCGTGAGACCCTATTTAAATGAAATAAATAACTATAAAGAGAAAGAGAAAATGTAAATTCATTTTTTTTTTCAAACATTCGATCGTTTACAACGAACGAAAGTCACACACAGACAAAAAAAAGAGAGAGAAGAAGAACCAAAAAAATCACACAGACGAGAATTCGTCGCCCCGGATGTGCGGTCAACTTTTTCCTTATCACTCTCCTTTTCTCTCTCTCTCTCTCTCTCTTTTTTGCCCAAAGTGCAAGCTTTCGCCTCAAAAATAAGTCAAGGAGAAAAAATGAATTGATGCGCGCGATAATAATGATACACGCACACGCACACGATTATTGTTCGTAAATTTTACGATAAAAAAAAAAAGCAAGCGGTAGTATATATAGGCTTTTAATGCCCGAGCGCACGATGACGATCGGCGGGCCTCCTCGCTCGAGTGAAAGTAATTTTCAATCTCCGAAGTAAGTGCCAGCCGCCGCCGCTGCTGCTGCACTCTGTGAATTTCATATATACGCGTGCGTGTAACGTATCGGTGATTAAAAAATGACATTACATACGTACGAATATCAACTGTACCAAAAAAAAGAAGAAGGAGCGAGAAGAAATCATCTCAAAGAAACGAATGAATCAATTTAAAAACGTCTCTTATCACACGCGTCTCGACAATTTTTCATATCGTACACAAAATTATGTCTACGGATACATCATATTATACATAATGCAAAGCGATCGTGGGAATTTTCCGCAGCGCACATAGGAGGAGGCCTAATACAAGCTGCACCGCAACTTCACGAGGAAGCAAAAGAGATATGTGTGTGCTTCGCGTCGCGTTTAAACCCGAGAGCGGTGAAAGTTCACCGATCGCGACTCTACACACACAGACACAGACACGCGTTTAAACACTCGCGTGTGTGTTACATACTGCATAAGCGTCGTGTATATGAAGTATATAGGAGTAGTCGCTCCGAGGAGCCTTAGATAGGATCTTATAAAGACCACATCTAGCTGCATAATGTAATTACGCTCGTTTTTTATTCTCCCTTTCTCTCTCTCTCTCTCTATAATTTTTCTTTCTTCGGGGGGTGAATTATATTATTATATTATAGATAGGCGGTTTAGTTTGCCGGGATATATTCGAAACTTTTCGCGCGAGTCGAGCTGTCATATTCGTAACGTATGATCGCCGCGTGGGTCCGTGTACTGGAGCGACATCGTTGGGCGGCCGCGCGAACTTGTCCCGCGCAGCAGAAATCTGTCATCGCGATAACAATAACAATATCAACACGAGGACTGTTTCGTGCATATATATGCGTATGTGACAGGCAGACGGACTTGGACAGTTGTGTGTACACAAGCTAACTCGGCAAAAGATATGGTTAGCTTCGATCGGATACCCGACCTGGTGGGCCACCTCGTGCTCAACGAGCACGGCGGAGTTCTCGAGGTAAGCTGCACAGTGCCTAATCTCGACGCTTGGATGTTGATTCGACTCTTTGTTTTTATTTTTTTTTTTTTTTTTTACACGCAGTCCGGTGGCGATCTGGAGAACGACGAGAGACTGGCCGAGGTGGTGAGGTCGATCGCCCGACTGACCGACCGCATCGAGTCGCAGGACGATCAGCAGCCGCTCGGCGACTTCAGCAAGATCGAGTTCTCGTTCGAGCACCACGCCTATCTCGTCTGCATGCACAACAGAAAGCTGTACGTGACCAAGAGGAGGCTGCAGCAGCAGCAGCAACAACAGCAGCAACAGCAACAACAACAGATGCAGATGCAGATGCAGCATCAGCAGCAATTGCAGCAGCAGCAGCAGACAGCTGCACCAATCGAGGAGGAGGTTTTGGTGGATTTCATGTCCAATGCGGGCTAAAAGTTTGAGAGGAACTTCCAAGTGTAAATAGATTATATGATTCATATGTGTTTTATTCAACAGATTTTCTTATCAAACTATATGTGATAATGCAGATTTTATATGTATAAAATGAAAAAATTGGAGCTTTATGAGAGATAACGACTCAGTTTATTAAATTCCAGTTGTTCGCACTGGGTTGTATAAAATATAGAATATTAATGATCTATTTATTTACACGATAAACTTTATGTATGTACATTGGGCTGCCGATGATCAAGATCATCAACAACCACTTTCGGAACTCGAGCTATCGTAGTGAACTAACGATGGTAGAGCAGAAGTGGGATTGCTACTTGTACCACTGCTACCCGAGGTTGATGCGCTTGCCGACACTGATGCCAAGGTTGTGGTTTCGCTCTTAGATTTAGATCCTTGCAAAGGAATGGGTTTATTTTTGGCTCTTTCTCTTGATTTGGCAACTGCTATGAGTCTTTTTAGTGGTAGGACTTTTGTTTTATCTGAAACAGTAGCATAATATTTTTTGTAAGTAATTATCCAAGGTTTGAGATTTCTTGACTAAATTTTACTTACTTTTTAATTTTTGTTGGGATAAAAGCTTAGCTAATTTTATATCATCTTCGTGTTCATCTATGAGATCAGTAGTCAAACCAAGTTTATCCTTCAATTTTTGATTAATGGAAGCTTTAGTTTCTAATTCCTTCTTTTTAGTCTGTAAGTGATCAGAAAAATTGAGTAATGCAACAATTTTACTAAAGATAAATCAAACTCTATTTTGTCATAACTTACCCTAAAAATGTCTCTTAGTGCACAGTTAGAGCTATAATCATCTTTCCATAATTCTTCATTTAAAGCTACTGCCCTTTGCAATGCGTTCTTTCTAACTTTTGCCGTTGTCTTATCTTCTAATTCATGTTCTAATTTATACATAGCATCATCGTACAACCTTCTTGAAACTTCTTTAGTTTCTGGAACTATTTGTTCATTTTCTGTTGGATCCCAGCGATTTTCTTGTCTCCTTGCTCCACTAACTATCTCATAATTTAGGTTCTAAAAAATAAACAATTCAATTAATTTCATGCCTTTAAGCACAAAAAACTATAATCACTACCTAAGAAACTTACCGCTGGATCAGTCTTAATTTCAAAATGGTTATCGCACAAGTGACATTTCATTCGAAACTGATACAGTGGCGTACTGTAATACATTCCAATTTTCTTCTTCTCTGCATTGTATCGTACACCCATGCCAATATGATTATTACACCCCTCACACCATATGTTGAATGGCATTTCAAATCTAATGATTAAAATCCCCATGTGAAGCTTTCTTGCTCTCTCTCTAAGAGCATGAGTGCCTTGAAATTTGTTGATACCTCCGAATTTGGGATCATAATCCGGAGGATAGTACAGATTCTGTCCTTTGCGTTCACCCATATTGCTGAAAAAAGTAATTAAAAGTTAGTTTTTAGAAAACACTGTCACTGTTTGTTTACCAACACATTGAGTATTGATGCACTGCATCAACAAACTCAAATCGATAGGTTATAATCAATGCATACCTTGATTATTTCTTGAAATTCACAATGAAATACAAATTACACAAACTCAAATTGTGTAGGGATTGGTAAATCTGAAATATCGTCTAGTTGACTGCAAGAATATCAACAGAAAAAGTGACTCAATGCCATAACACAGCAAGAAACCCGAGTCGCAATCCTGTCTGCAACGTCAAAACACTTATACACATATCGTGCAGCATGCGATGCGACAATTCAGATGTCTGCATTACCATCCGGTACTATACGTTACATCTTCGAACGTCGATTCCGAAAATAGCGTAATTAGGCTGATACACGGTAATCAATAAAAGTTCGAAATTATCGAGAGAGCTCTTTGAATTAATTTTTTTTCTATTAATTCTCGAATGAAATTGTTTTTTCATTTTCGGTGGTTGGTTATCGACACGCATGTTCGATTCCGAGCAGAAGACATGTAGCAGAAAAAATATAAACTGAGCAATGCATACCGCAGTGCGCGAGTTTTTGGCGTGTTTCAATTTTGATCTTTCAAAGTTAAGTATTTTATTACTATTGTTATTATCTAGTTTTTTTTTCGGCTACTTTATTTATGGAATTAAACCAAAATAGTTAACAATTCAATTTTGATAATTTTAAAAAGTCACAAAAAGAAATTAAAGTCATTATTTTTTCCCTCCATCGAAGGGAACCAATTTTCGCTTTTTTACGCTTTAAAATTGTAATTATTTGTACGATATCACCGAATATGATCATTGACCTTTATTATTACTGGGGTAAAGCGGCCAGTTTAGAACACCTGAGAAAAATTTTCACTTTGATCAGATTTCGCTAAGATACAGTAGAAATTCTGCATGACATTAAAATAATTCTTTTATAATAATAAAGATTAAATATAAAAGTTAATAATCTGTTGAGGTGAACGTAAAAATTATGTTTTCATTTTTGTACTTTTCGACTGCTTTGTTTATTTTCTAATTCGTGTGAGCGCGAGAAACAAAGTCATCTTGATCAAAGTGTACAGTTGTGAAACTGTTAGTATTGACAGAAGTGTGATTATTCTCGAACGTCTCACACATCAAATTGTACAGTAATTAATTCTATTCAAAATAAAATATTAATTATCATCTTCGAACGACCATTAGTTTGAAATATAACGTTTAATCAGAATCAGAACATTTGATACAAGAAAAAAAATGTCGCGAATAACTTACTCATTGACCAAAGAATACTATCGTAAAAAAATTGGTGCAGCTGATCTTATAAATTTGGTAGATTATTTGAATAAGAATGAAATTACAGAAGAAAAGTTAGAAGACGAAGGCACCGTGAGGGATATAATACGTCTGGGAATGAAAAAAGAACCAAAAAAAGGCTATTCGAAAAGTGATATTAATGTGTTTAGAAAAACGATTCTTTCTTTTAAAATTGATTATTTGAAAACAACTCCTCTGTATCGAATAAATCGAGGCATACTAGTCGTCGCTTGTATCGAACTTCTGCTGTGGCCTGGGCAAACCGATGAAGAATATAGAAACATTTATGCTTACCACAAGTCGGGTATTATGTATAAAGAACTGTGTAAACTGTGTAATGTCGAAGAAATCGATCCTGTCGCCGATGAATCGGCTAAATTGTTTTTTGGAAGCTACACGTTAGCCAACATAAATGGGATCGTCTTGCAAACGATAAGAGCGTATTTGAAAAAAATTGATATCAATCCTGAAGAAATGAGATATATAATAAATGAATCCTTTCGAATAATGTGAGTAAATATTTGAAAAATGCTCGATACAATGATATGCTCAAAAATTCAATTTAATTTCTAGAAATAGTACGATATTCGATGAACAAAGATTTAAGGCGGATGTTCTGATTAATTTGGTAAATTATTTAGTGATACGAGACGTGAAATTAGAAGATCTAAAAAAACAGGATATTACAATGGATATGCTGTATATAATCGTTGGCGAAAACCGAGCACCCTCGCAAACGCAATTTAGAGAGTTTGAAAAATTTCTCGCTCTCAAACTTGATTACTTGAAGGTAACCAATCTGTACCAAATAAATCCTGACATATTGACGGTCGCGTGCGTCGAGCATCTCCTGTATCCCGGACAAGATCGCGAAGTATACAGAAGTATATATGACTGCGATACCGAAACGGCGACCAAGGTATACAATGAACTGCATGGTTTTCCAGAAGGGCAAAATGTCGATGGTGCCACAGTTATATCGGCTACAAACTTTCTTCGACGCGAAACGTTCTTGAATGAGGATGGGTGCTTGAAAACGATAAGATCGTATTTAAAAAATATCAAATTCGGTCCCGAGGAGATTGAATTTATAAAAAATAAGTCGATCGAGTTGATGTGAGTAATTATTTTAAAAATGTTCGTACAATAATTTTACACTCGAAAATCAAATTAAATTTTCAGCACCGATAATGAAGCTAGTGACGCCGTTCAACCACCAACAAACGTGACGAATCGTCCGATATCCGCACCCACCGACGACGAGGCGCAGGCCCGTCCACCTACGCCAGAGGTGTTACCGATGGACGTCGACCAACCGTCGACAGTATCGACGCCCGCGAACCAGGGATTTCCCTCGCGTTACTCTCCCAACGACGTGGTCTTGGCGATAAGGCCAAGGCTGAATTTTTTCTGGCCGGCAAGAATTCAAGAGGTTCACAGCGACAGGAGGGAGTACGTGGTATATTTTCTATTGGGTGGACTCAACGCGGAAGTTATATCGGAGGAAGATGTAAAAGCTTTTACGGAGGAAGAGATCGACGCCGCTGCCTACTGTCTGGGTCCAGGTTTAGTACAGTCTTACTTCAGGTATGCAGTGTCGATGGGTAAACAAGGAGACTAAGATACTTAATCATTTTGTCTTCGTTAAAGTATAATAAAAATAAAGGGAGAAACTTCATGTACAAAAAGTTTTTAGAATTATTTAGAGAACCTACGTGCTTCGGAATTTACGCGGAACTTGCTGTAATTCTTAAAAATTTAATTAAAACGTTTGAATTAAAATTTTATCGGCATTTTCTTTAGTTACGGTCTATTGCCAGGATAGAGTAATAAATCTTATGAAAAAAATGTAATATTAAAAGAAGTGAAAAAAGTTTTTATTGCAGTAAAATTTAATTTTTATTCATTTGAATAATAGCTCGCGATGGCCAATACCGTAGCGGCCAGGTAAACATCGTGTTTTTTAAGCTCTCTCAGTTCCTTCAAGTTCACTGCACGCAAGAATAAGAAGAATACAAAATTAAGCTCTCGAAGCTTTTTGGCGGGCGTGATTCATACCGATCGCGATGCGTTATCGGCTGCGCGGTATTTTTAAGCCAAATATTTGCGAAATTCCTTCGCTTCAATGAAAAAAAAAATATATATATATCTTCAAAATAAATTTATCTCTTTGACGCTCGAGCACGTGTGCCCGCGAAAAATATCCGCGGTACCGACATCGCTTTTAACATTGACTCGGAAATTGGGCCGCCGATTTATTTATAAATTCACGGATACGAGCGGCGCAATGGAGTTTGATGATGTGTTTATGTGTTATAATATGCTCGCACACATCGAACGAAGGTTATTAACTACAAGCCAGCGAACTTTCGAATCTTTTTCTTTCTTTTTTTTTTTCAAGTCTAACAAAGATCGAGAACGAGATCGTAATTCGATCGACGCGTGTGCGCTCGAAGAAATCGGATATCCAGATTTCTGCTGCTGCTGCTGCTGCTGCGAGCGTAAGGTGCAGCTAGCAGCAAGTGCGCACCTATAAAGACGCGACTCGACCTTGCGTCTGGTTCACGGCAGTCTGCATGCCTTCGTACCTACATATACGATATTTTGACGCGCGCAAGGTCGACATTTCTCTCTCTCGTGCTTACACGCAAAAACGTCGCGGATGACAAATTTTCCCCGTCGACGTCGTCGCGCCGGGCCTTTTACGCTAAAAGTTAAATTACCACAGAGACGTTTGTAATAGGATTGAGAAGCCGCGTTCGTGTGCGTCACGAGTATGTGTGTTTACGCTTACGCATGAATCATCGAGCGAAATTTCGCAGATTTTGCATTGAATCGCGACATTTATAGCTATATACGTCGGATGACATTGTGATATTTTGAAGTTTTTGTAGCACTTTGTGTTTTTTTTTTATAAATTAAAAATACAAGATTGTTTATTTATTATATATTTTTTTTAATATTGCTGATTTAATTATTGACTTAGTTAAGTAAATAAATATATTGACTCAAATACAATTTTGCTGGATTGTTTTTTTCTCGATAGCATAATAAAATTTTCAATGTTTTAAGCAAATCCATGCACAACGTACTTCAATCATTGGTTACAATTTTGCACTAGAATTGAAGATAATGAGCAAATCAGAACTTCAGTCGATTAATACAATTGTCAATGCTTTTTAAAAAAATTGCCCATTTTTTGGTACAAAATATTGCATATACCTTTAAAAACCTTGTTTAAAAACTTATCCGCACGCTTGTGCACATGTGTTTGTTAAATATATGTATATAGCATTTTTCTTTGTAAGTATCAAATACTGCAAAATATCTCTTTCGTAGGCGTACAAAAAGTTGATGGGTCAAACATTAGTTTGTTAAAAATTCTCAATCTTATACGATACAGCAGTTAAAACAGTTCAAGGACCGAACAAAATGTATATACCCTCTCTACGCTACTAGAATATAACTTTCTTCGTTGTTATAATGATTTTGGTATTAATATTTAAGTCGTTAGGCTAATAAATTTTCTTCTCCCGGATGGACAATCACCAGATAATCAATCAATATTTACACTCGCACGCTATACACATTCAGAGCTTCATCACAATAATCTTGCATCACAGCTTGCAAGCCACACTAAGAATACGTATAAGTATATAACGTGCATAGCTGAGAAACACACACACACACACACGCTCAACACACCTGCATACTATTATTATATATAATCACACGCAAATACACAGAGACAGACTGTGTCAACTAAATTATTCATTCTTGGCTTCCGTAGCAGGATGGAAATTGATAGACGCCGAGTTGATGCAGAAGCGCTTCCTCTTTGGCTTGGGTCCATCGTTGAAAACGTGGCCGAGATGGGCGTCGCACTTGGAGCACGTGACCTCGGTCCTGTCCATGCCGTGGCTCGAGTCCCGGTTGAGCTTCACCTTGCCCTCGTCCAGCACGTCGTTGAAGGCCGGCCAGCCGCAGCCCGAGTCGTACTTGGTGTCCGAGTGGAAGAGCGGCTGCTCGCAGACGACGCACGTGTACAGGCCCTGCTTGTAGTGCTTGTTGTAGGCGCCCGAGAACGGCCGCTCGGTGCCCTTCTCCTGGGTGACGTGCCACTGGAGCGGCGTCAGTCGCGCCTTCAGCTCGGCTTTGTCCAACTTTTGGCCGTCCGACATGACGATCGGTGTACTGCTGCTCGACGTCGACTGTCTGCTGGGAATGTAATTGAAGGCCGATTGCGGTGCCAGTGCCCGCAGTAGCACGCACTCGTTCGGTATTACTACTTTCCTCATGATTGTGTAGGTAATTCTATGCATGTATGTGTTTGTGTGTGCGAAGAGTATAGCGCGGCCCACTATATAGTCACTCTATTGCTGCCGTTTGCACTGCTTCTGCTGCAAGTTGCACTTTTTGCGCGCAAGAGGAAAAGAGAAGGATGCACACACGGACGGACGAACTATATACACGGGGGAACTATTATTGTATTAGAAAAAAGGAACGGGCTGGAGAGCCGAGAGAGGCGCGTTTAAAAAAAAACGTCTCTATGCCTCCGAGTATAATGGTGCTACTGCTGCTGCTGTGCTGCTTTATAGACGGACAGACTCTGACTGTTTCTTTACTAAAGCGGCGGAGAGCAGCTCGAAACTTCGACTTTTGTTGATCTTATGTCGCGCGTCGGTGTGTCATCATGTGAGTGTGTGTGTGTGTGTGTGTGTGTCATGTGTGTCTATATACTTGTGCGCACGCAGCAGCACGCATCTATATAGCCGACGGGCGCGCGCGAAGAGTCGAGAGTGCAGTATATTTATTTATATTTGCACACTTTATGCACACGAGTGGGAGCGTACTTAAATATACGTATTTTATTTTAGTTTTATTTTTGGTTTTTAATTTTTTTTTTCTTATAAATTACCGGCCGGTAAGGTCGCTGCCCCTATTTTCGCTCAAAGAGATCAAACCTTGATACCAGTACTTTAATAATATGGTTTTGTGGAACATACTCGGCTCATGAAATCGAATTTTTTTCAATTTTTTTGTCTATGATCGAATCGCTAAAATATTAATGGGATCGAATGAATTCAAATTTTTCCCAAGAATCGTAAGAAAATGTTTATTTTTTTTTTTATTTAGCTCAAATAATTGTAGGATGTGACATATAATGTAATTTCTCATATAATTTCACAGTGAGTCTCCTCGCGCAGTTATGGAAAAGTTTCAAAAATTTGCGGTAAACAAAAAAGGTAGAGTGAAATGAATTCTAAAATCTGTCACCTAAAAATGATACTGTTAATAATGTTTCCTAAATACGCAATTATAATGCAATAAGTATGATGGATAATATTATTATGTCTAATGTGAAGCGTTATAAACAATATTATTCAAAAATGAATACATAGAGTAAAACTAATATCTACATTCAATTCTACGGAAAAAAAGACAACAAATTATTTGTCTAATTGATTTTTTTTCGCTTAGTTTATTTGCATATAAATACGAAAAACGAATTTCTAGCTGTTTTTCGCTTAAAAAAATATCAAAAAAGTGCATTTTCACCACTGAAAAAAATTTTTAGGCTAAAACTAATGACGAGACTCGATTCAACAGAATAAATCCTAAAAAATTTATGCTACAAAAAATTTACAGACATCCTCTACGGCGAGGAAGGTCTCATTGTATTTTTTTTCGGTTTTGAATAAGCCTATCGTCATACTGTTCCGATGATCACCATCAAATTCAAGATGATAAAAAATAGAAATTTATCAATCGATAGACTCCCATGTTTATACAAAATCATCGTGATCGCGACTAGTCTGATTTTAGCGAGAAACGTAACAGTCCTAGACAGAAATTAGAAGATTCTGAAAATTTTACGCAGGAAAGATTTTACAATTATCATCTCTGGCGAGGAAGGTCTCATTGAATTTTTTTGTCAATTTTGAACAAGCCTATCGTCAAGCTGTACTCACGATAACAATCGAATTCAACCATTTCATGGCAAAAAATGATTTTATACGCCAAAATCAATGATGGCTTTTGATTCTATGGAAAATAATACAAAAAACAATGTATTTAGAAAGCCGATTTTGACGTTATAGAAAAGCTGGCGACTTATTTAGCTACTTAACGTCAATCCCGATTTTCTGAGGCCAAAACAATTTCAAAAACCCATGGATACCTCTAAAAATCGATAACTTCGTTTCAAACTATAAACTTTCAAAATCCGTTGGATTCGCAGAGATAAAAAAAATTTTGAAAATATGATTTATGTTCATTTATAATAATGCAAAAAGAATATTTATAATTATATAAATAAAATAAATATAATTGTACAAAACAGAGTCAAAACAAATTATTTAAAATACGAAAAGTCAGGCCTTTTTTTTCTTCTACTCTATAGAGCTGAAATCGATGACTTACTTTTATCATTAACAATTCTTATTTTTCTTACGTAAACTTTTCAAAGATGATTCTGTACTTCTTTGAAATTTTTTCGAGTGAAAAGTTTCTACCCGCGTTAAGTAAGTAGTACCTCTGCGCGCGTAGAATAGTTATTCGACTGCGCCGGCGCGTTCGAACTTTCTCTTATTGAATCGTGGCTTGCATGAAAATCATCAGCATAGGTTACGACTACACCGCGTGAACAGCTATATATAGAAAATATCGAATCTACTGCATTACGCGTGAGAAAATAAAATTAACATTTAAAATTACAAGTGACCACGTGTGTTGTTGTTGTGTGATATATGTATGATATAATGGATCCACACCGCAACTGTTCAGGACAATCACGCGAGGTAGCCTGTTCTCGACAAAAAGTCGAACTGGAAGATCTTTTGAACGAGCTGAAGCTCGACCGCGCGGACGCAGAACGGACCACCCAAATTCTTGAACGACTTAGTAATATAACTAGTAAATCGACTTGGAAGGGCCCACTTCCGAATCTTCGAGACACTTTTCAACAGGAAGAAGTTAACCGTATACTCATGAATATCGTCGATCACATAAGCAGAAAACAAATCGATTATTCTGAAGGAATGGTAATTATTGGCTTCATAGCTCGCACAGGCTACAGACACGAGCCAGAAATTGATAAAGATGGCAAAATACGATTGCATCTTACAACACCGCTGCATGTGGCAGCAAAATACAAATACAACGTAGATATGAATTATTTTATTGTTCCGAACCTTTTTAAAATATACCGTGACGATTTAAATTACACCGACGAGTTAGGCTACACGCACTTCCATGTGGCCTGCATGTATAGTGGTGCTATCAAAATCGCCCCAAAATTCCTCGAGCTCGTCCAGGATCCCAATCTCCTCGTGGAATCAACGGGTGATTCGCCGCTACACTTGTGTTTGTCTCACTCATGGGACACTTCCTTGGTCGAATTACTGCTAAAAAAAGGCGCCAATCCGAATGTGGCTAACAAGTTGGGAATAACACCCTTGCAATTTGCCGTGGCGAATCTCATGGACAGTGAGGTGGATTTACTCGTGAATCATAGAGCTAATCTGTCGGATTTTGTTTTTCCCACTTTCAGTCGCTTCGAAGCGAGCCTAGAGTCTTTGTATGGTGAAGTAATCGTTTATGTTCATAAATTGGAAATAGCTTCTTCCGCTATGAGGATCGTAGATCGCCTAGAGAGAGGGGGATACGAGCTGGACCTAGACGACGCCCTGACGATCATGAAATGTTTCGCCAAGTGGGAATTGTTCGAGATATCGGTGAACGATAAAAGACTTTTATGCGAGGACTTCGAGACAAGAGCGAAAAAGATAATTGTGAAATCGGACTTGTCGCTCTACGATCTAATCCAGTTACGACCCCGAGAGGCGGCGAAGCTAGTTACACCTTGCGACTTATCGCGCTCGGTCGGTTTTGACGGTCTTCCCAAAGCGACCAGAAAGTATTGTGTTACACATCTGTGCCAAACGCCGAGAGAACTTTTTCGGAGCTGGGCACTGGTCTCGTACATGGAGCTGATGCATTACCGACTGCCGGATCTTTGCTGTGAAAAGATCATCGAGAAACTGACGAACGAGGATTTTTATCACATTTGCTTGGCGGCTCAAGACCAAAGTCACGAGGACAGAAGGATGCAATGAATGGATTGGATTGAATGAATGATTGAATTGTCAGAAAGATGTAATGATTCTAAGTAATTGGAGAATTATAAGTCCACTAGTATAATTGCTGCGTGAGCACATACAAAATTTCATGTTTCAGCAATTGTAGGATTACATAGATTTAAACCCGCAGTTAGCCTTAATAAAAAAAGTTTATCATTAAATAACGGATTTGTCTTTATTTCGTTGTCCCTTTATACTTTAAACTAGGGCTGTGCAACCACCTGATTTTTCGAGTTCAAGTCGAGTACTCGAATTCTTAATGAATATTTTTTAGAGCTCTAGAAATAAGATTGATACACATCGAATAGTACCCGAGCCACCGCTAGATGGCCGGGGGCCGAAATTTTCGTAACTCACCAGAGAAAAAGCTAAGTTCTAGGAATAATTAAAAGTCAAGATTAGTTGGCATCGAAGCAAACATTAAAGCATACATTGAACTATATTAATTCTCCATGTGTATGATAGTTAAAATGATTAAAAAAGGAGCCAATACCATAATATAATAATTTTATATTTATACAAATTTATAAATACATGATTTTGTCCAATACATATAAAATCGTTTATTTGGAACGAAATGTTCGACATCTTTATTATCAATATGTAAAACTAAAACTTATAAAATACATTAAAAAATGTAACCATCTTTGTTTACAAATTAATTTGACACGCGAGACGAGAAAAGTACGGCTTTGAGTCATAACTCAAAAGTCGAAAGCCTAGGATATTATTTCATTCTAACTATATGAAAAGTAGATTGTTTCATGTGTACGCGAACTTGCTGTCTCGAGCGAGTTTGGGCAGTCGTTATTTCGATTGCACTTTGCAACGACAATATTCGGATGTCGTTTGGGCTTCGTATTTCAGTTTGCGACGAAGAGTAAAAGGACATCCATCAGATCGTTGACTAAATCAAGAATTATTTATAATTCCATCTCGAATTAATAAGTAAAGCTTCGTACCTTTGATCCAGAAATTGAATCCAAGGATATCCCAACTGTTCGTCGCAAGTGAACATACAAAAAATCACACATCTCTCGTTGTACGTCGCAGAGAATACGGTCCTGCCATATGCGCGTCGATAAGCTTATTCTAAAACAGCCTACTTTATATTTTTACAGGTATAATATTTACTTATCCCAGCTTTATTGCATCCAGCACATTTTTTGGCTAGTTTTTCGTCTCGGGCGTCGAATCACATACGCGACGGAATTAAATTAGGTCGTAGTTGTAAAAATCGTTAACGTACTCGATCGGATCGTAAGCACTTGATCAGACCAATGCTGTCTGGAAAGGTATAATTCTTTCTATCGGATTCTCTTCTTATTTCACCGGTAGATCCGTCCATGTGCACTCCATCGCCTGGAAAATTAAAAATTTCATGAAAGATGCTATTTTTATGTATGGCCTGTAATGTAAACGAACCAAACCTTTATTTCATTGAAAAATTAATTATAAATCTTCAATTTTACATTACATACATCACTCTTACATGTCACAACATACACTGCCCTGCAATTACTTTTGCCACACCTGAGTAAAAAGTGAGTAAACTTCAAATTGTCATAGTTCATTCAATAAAAGTCGAATCAGGATTTCAAAAATACCGTTCAAAAGTTCTTTACAAGCACTCTAAATCTATATGAATTATGATAAGGTTTAATCAATTATTCATCAGTTGCTTTCAACAAATAATAAATCGAATCAATGTTTACTCATTTTTTTCTTATTTTGGAGTCCAAAAACTATCACGAGTCTATCACGAAGCTTCCTCTACACTGACAAGGAGAGCTCTCCAAGTCCGGGTCACCTAATGCCCTGAAAATTTTTTTGTGATCTCCTAGTACATGATGATGATCCCCCATATTATAGTTAGTTTGATCCAATGGGCCCTTTAACAATACTTTTACGCATGGTCAAGATTTGAATATTATTTAAATATAATAAATACCATATAATAGCCTATCATGGTATCAGGCTTAAAACAGTCAATTCCAACTGACTGAACAGCATTGTTACTTTGTGTTTTTCAAGTTTTTAAACAGTTATTCAAAAAATAAACACAGTAGCTCAATTGGTATACTATGCAAGTATCAAAGAGCGAACCAATTTGAGTTAAAATTAAAGTACTTTACTATAAGTATTGATGCAAAAGATTGAAATAAAACTTTTATATTATTAAACTCACTGTTCCTTCTTTTTCTTCGATTTTTATCACTCTTCATTGATTAAATTTTAAGTGCCAGATTACCTCATCAATGATGGTGGAAATCGCCAATGATAAAGATAAATAAATAATGTGATTTGGCGATGATACAATCAGTTATGCTTCTTTTTCTTTTCCCCAGTAACTTAAAATATTATCAATGAAGTGTGAAAAATGGATGAAAAAGAAGGAACAGTGAGTTTAATAATATAAAAGTTTTATTTCAATCTTTTGCATCAATACTTATAGTAAAGTACTTTAATTTTAACTCAAATTGGTTCGCTCTTTGTGACTTGCATAGTATACCAATTGAGTTACAGTGTTTATTTTTTGAATAAGTGTTTAAAAACTTGAAAAACACAAAGTAACAATGCTGTTCAGTCAGTTGGAATTGACTGTTTTAAGCCTGATACCATGATAGGCTATTATATGGTATTTATTATAGTTAAATAATATTCAAATCTTGACCATGCGTAAAAGTATTGTTAAAGGGCCCATTGGATTAAACTAACTATATGGGGGATTATCATCATGTACTAGAAGATCACAAAAAAATTTTCAGGGCATTCGGTGACCCGGACTTGGAGAGCTTTCCTTGTGAGAAAAAAAATTCATTGATTCAATGAAACGTTTAATTGAATACAATCTATGAAATAATTCATTCATTCAACAAAATATTTAATTTTTTTTACCAAAGTTTCATGAAAGCAATTAAATATTTTGCTGGATGAAATAAAAAAAGATTATTTCAATGAAATTATTTCATAGATTGTATTCAATCAAACGTTTCGTTGAATCAATGAATTTTTTTTCTCAGTGTACGAGGTAGCAAAAATGATCCCTTACCCGTTCTGAAGATTCTGGTCGCGTCGGTCACGCCCATGATGCAGGACACATCGAAGTCGCGGGCCATCGCCGCGCCCGGACTGAACAGGCTGCCCCGCTCCGCGATGATACCGCTGAGCATGGGGAAGTACTGGCTCCAGCCGGCGTCGACGTAGGCCACCACGAGTATGTCCCAGGGCCTGAGGCCCCGCTGCTGCAGGTCGTCCTCGAATCTCTCGGCGACGAAGACTCGATTGCACACTACCCCGGCGTTTATGGGCACTCCCCGAGTCTTGTAGTCGGCCTTGCGCACCTCCGCCTCGTCGAAGTCGTCCAAGATCTGGGCCCGCGGCATGCCGTAGCTCGTCAGCGGATATCTCGCCTCGTCCAGTCGCGCCCACAGTTCGCGTCTCAGGTGGGCCTTCCGGACGAGCCGAGGACAGCAGGTGGCCTCCAGGAGCTCGAGCACCTCCCAGCTGGTCAGGTAGTTGATCAGATTCTCGTCGGGCAGTTTGCCCTCGTTCACGAGCTCGATGGCCTTGGACCGGTAAAACGTTCTCGCGCGGTGCGTCGTCTTGCTCAGTAGCAGCCTCGCGAACTCCCGCTGCTCCACGGCCTGCTGGGCTCGCGGCAGCAGCTCGCGGATTCGCTCGCGCGTCTCCGAGTCGATCGGCGTGGAGATGCTGTCCAGTAGCTCCTTCGAGGGTGGACCGGGTATGCAGTTGTACCTGCTTCTAAAATTACAGTAATACACCATCTTCATGTCGTCCCGCGACGGCTGCTTGAGCACCACGTGGTAGTACTGCGAGGGGACAAATACAAATTTTTTCATTCGATCGATCGATTGTTATAAATTGAATTAAAAATAACTTCAAAGTTGTCATTAAAGTACTATCAAATGGAGTTTTGTCTGATCTTTAAAAATTGCGCGAATAAAACAGTTCAAATATTTGCGAACAAAAAACGCCATTACTCGTTCAAAAGTTGAGTATCTGTAAAAAGTCAATGCAACTTGTCTAAAATTTCCAGTTAATAAAGAAAGTAAAATTATCCCATAATTTAGAGAGAAACTGATATTTTTAATGATTACAAATTAAATAAATTTGGTAACGAAATTTTCCATCACATACAGCTGTAATCATGTTTACAGCTGCTTTACCTTTGGTTCTCTTTTTGCTTAAACTAAAAAGAGACTTCGTTGCTTTTAATGTTGCATTTACAGTATTAGACTGTAAAAGTAAAAACATTTTTTTGAAGAACATACATAATAACCCTTTGAAAGTATTTTGTCTAGTTAGATACTTAAAAACAATTAAGTACTCTGATAAAAGTCTAAAGATCTTCTACTTAAGCATTTCACACATCTAAGCTACTTATCTCAATATTTCAAGTTATTTGATGAGTTAAATTAGTTCTAGTCTCTCAAGCAAGTGAGTGTCCAAATAAAAATTTATCTACAGCCTAATATTGTAAATAAAGCAATGAAAAAAATTTGAGCCCCCGATTGAGCTCTCAAAATAAATGTAATTCAAAAATCAAATTTATTCTCGAATTAAAGTGAATTTCGATAAAAAATGTATCATAAATCATTATGATCCCGAGTAGAATATATTCTTACCTGGAGCAGCGTGTAAAATCGATCGAGCCTCAATATAAACGGCTCCTCCGCCAATTCGAATTCATTGTGGCCGAGATTGCCGTCCTTGTTCATGAAATTGATTATGTGGCTGAACGCGCTCTGAGCCTTCACGTCGGTTTTGAGCCAACTGTCGACCTTCGAAACATCCATCCTTCCGAAATTCGCGTCCACGAGTTCCTTTCTTCTCTGCTTCAGCCGGATCTTCTTCCAGATCTCCTCGCTCACCCTGGTCAGTACCCGTGGCACCTGGGCGGTGGGCACGCGTCTGCCTTTGGCCAGCAGCAGCGACGCGTCCGCGAAGTTCTGGGCCGTGAACGCGGCGTCCGGTACGTTCGACGACGACAGCAGCCGCATGATTCCCATCACTTTCTGGCTGCAGACCCGCGAGAAGAAGCCGTGATAGCGCGACATCTTTTTCAGTCTTTCCTCGTTTTTGTCCAGCTCGTCGAATTTCCGATCCCATTTCACCGTCTTCACCCTGGTCTCGACCAATTTCGTCTCGAGTTGTCCGATCTTCAAGGCGCAGATCTCGCGCTCGTCGCGTTCGCAGCCGCGCTCGAGCTTCGTCTGGTCCAGGTGACGCACGAGGCTGTTGCGATCGACGAGGCCGTAGCGACGCTTCATCGCCGTCTCGATCAGTTCTTTCGTGACGATCACGCGCCCGCAGAGGCCGAGATCCTTCAGCATCATGTCCTTGATGTTCGTCAGCTCGCAGTTGCGCATCACGAACTTGAAAGGAGAAAGAATAAAAAAGGTTCGGAAGTTTTTCTTGAGTCGGTTGCAAAAGAAGGACGATAGCCCCTCAACAGGATTGTAAAGATTTAAAACAATTTCTGAACTCGATTTCGATATTTCATGGTTTGAATCAAATTTCATAATATAAACCTACCGATGCCCGACTGCCGTTAGCTATTATTTGATTACATAGAATTTATTAAAGTAAAACAATAATGCAATGAACATTTTTTTCTCTTCTTTAAATAGGTATTATGTTTTCAGGAAAAAAAATATAGCTGCATTTATAAATCATAAAATCTTTTTTTTTTGAGTTATCTAAAACTCTACCCTGGTCGAATACTGAACTATTCCATAATAAGTGTATCGATTCAATTTTTGAGAATGAGAATAGGTTCCTTATGCCTTTTAAGACCTGCTCACAGGTACGGCTCAGAATATTTTTGACGCGCAATTGGTATGTTACAGTACACAGTAAAAAAGTTCCCAAGCCAAAATTTTAGACCCGCAAATCACTTTTAATTACCCAACCACCTATAAACGTCTTTTGAAATTTTCTATTGATACCAATGCCAAGGTACATTTCAACAATACAAATAATCGAGGTTTTAGCCTTCAAAAAAAGTTATTGAAAATATTGAAAAAGTACACATTTTACAATGATGCCAAAATTTTTCAGGCTTTGTTTTGCATCGAAGCCGTAATTAAATTTTCAAAATTTTCAATAATATTTTTTGAAGGCTCGAAGCTTCTAAAAAATCTGTAAAAGTTCAAGGAGATTTGCACTGTCGAAATGTAGCTTCGTAAATTTTGTCAGATTTTTTTAAATAACTGGAGATATATGAAATTCAACTCAAATAATGAAAGATTTAAATCAAGTTTGATTCTCGGATCAAACTAATTGGATTTACGGATGTGCTTACGTCGTAATAATTAAAAGCGACCCTCATATTGGCTATAAACAGGGGATTGGTCTTCACCCGGTCGGGTGAGTCATCGACCTTATCGACGTCGTCCTCGTCGTCGTCGTCGTCCAGCACGAAGGTCGACGGGACGAGCTTGTCGACTATGGCGGTGCAGGTGAGCGGCGTCAGGCAGCGCGGAAACATCTCGTCGGCCTGGGCGAAGCTCAGCAGGTCCTTGTCGGCGGGCACGCCCGAGCCGAGCTCGTGGCTCAGCTCGAAGTCCGTCCAGTCGTCGTCGACCAGCCACTCGGCTGGCTGGCACTGCAGCACGTAGATCTTGTCCTGGGGCCGACGCGTCCAGGCCCACTCGACGTCGCGCGCCTCGTCGTACAGCTTGTCGAGCTCGAGGCCCAGCTCGGCGATTCTCCGAGCGACTCCCGGCTCGATCGACCTCTCTCTACTGGGTTGCTGCTGCTCCGCCGTAATTGAGCCCGCGGCGGCCACCTGTTCGGGAGTATACAGCAATCCGCTGTTGGACGGGGAGAGCGAATCGTCGAGGCCGCGCCGAAAGTCGAACCACTGGCGCGATTCTTTCGTTTCCACCGATATTACGCGCGGGTCGCCGTTATCGGCATGCCTGGTGTACATGGCTCCGATCGCGTGGAACTCGATCCTCTTCCGGACGGACACCGCCATGGGACTCTTCAGGGGCAGGCCAGCGCTGTGCCGATACTCGACGTGAGCGCGACCGTACACCAAGCCCCAGAGACGGATCACCTGACGGATCACGTCGTCCGCCGAGCGAATGTCCCGCTCCCCGTGATTACCGTACGAGAACAGCCTCAATGGTTCCTTGTAATGGGCGCTCAATTGCAGGACCCATCCCACGTCCGGAATCTCTTGCGATCTGGCCAGTGACTTGCGTATCTGACGCTCCACGTTCGGGGGCATTGTGGCCGTCTCGAACAAATCGGCGATTCTGAATATGTGCGAGGGAGGAAAGAAACAAAAAAATAATGCGTATTATCATTAACTTCCAATATTTATCCAAGTATCCCATTTGGGAACCGATAAGAAGAACCTTTCATCTGCCGGTAAATTTCCTGAAAAATTTTGTGTGATCTTTCAGTACTTAATGATAAAGTCCCCTATAATAAGTTTGATCCAATAGGCCTTTTAATAACATTTTTAAGCATGACGAAGTTTTTGATACTATTTAATAATAAATACCATATAATATCGTATCGTGGTATCCGGTTGAAACAGTCAAATCCAACTGATTGAAAAGTTTTGGTACTTTGACCTCTTCGAATCTTGAATACTTGTTCAAAAAATAAACACTCTAGCCAAATACTTTACTATAAATATTGATGCAAAAGATGGAAAAAAATTTTTATATTATTAAACTCACTGTTTACCTTATCAATGATACTGCATCAACGATTTTTCATCCATCTTTTGCATCAATATTTATAGCGAAGATCGTTAATTTTAGTTCAAATTGGTTCGTTTTTAAGACTTGCACAGAAAACCAATGGGGCTAAAGTGTTTGTTTTTTGAAAAAGTATTGAAGACTAGAAAAGGTCAAAGTACCAGTACTTTTCAGTCAGCTTGACTTTACTTTTATAGCCTTATACCATGATAGACTATTATATGGTATTTATTAACATTCAATAATATTAAAAACTTCATCGTGCTTAAAAATGTTGTTAAGGGGTCCAATTGGATTAAACTAATTTTAGTTGGATTCATCGCGAGGGACCAGGCCATCACACAAAAAATTTCAGAACATTTCGTGACCCGAAGATGAAAGATTTTCCTTTTGAGTGTTCAAAATCCGACCTTGTAATTCAGTTTTAAAAAGTTTTCAAAGTATGCAAACGTCGATAAATTGATTTTTTAAACTCAAACCCAACTAAAATAAAATCTTTAATTTAATTTAAAAAGTATGAGTTTATAAAAAGCTGTAAAAGCTTATAAAAGTTATATTATTTTTTCATCTTACTAAAAATGTCAGCTGCTTTTGATTTAAAAAAAAAACGAAACGAATTATTACCCTCCGTAAACTTTTATAAATTTTCACACGTATCACAAAGTCCGACCTTTTAAATTAGTTTCTGAATGTTTAAAAAAAATTGATTAAACGTTTACAACGACGCTCTCGATTTCTCGAAACGATTTACGGGTGAACGCACTTTTTCAAGTGTTGAGTTATGTCGGGTTCAGCGACTCTTCTCTCTCGCCACTTGGTGCGGTAATTGAACGGTTCGATGATCGTCGGGGGCCCCGTTTTGTAGCCGTCGATCAATTCGTCGATGGCCGCCAGCAGTCGTGTGTTGTGCCTCAAGAAGCACTCGAAGGCGTAGGTCGTCACGCAAAAACCCGCGGGTACTTCGAACTTGTGAGCGGCAAAAAAAAAATCGATAAAAAAAAAGTGTACTCGTCGTCGCACGCCTCGAGATCTCTAATTGCTAATAATATTATAGCACAGCTCACCTTTGTCGATCGCAACTGGATGAGCTGGGCGAGCGAGGCGACGTCCCCGCCGCAGAGCTTCTCGTCTTTGCAGCGCGGATTGCCCAGCCAGAGCAGCGCGACCTCGTCGTACGACTTCTCGTCGACGCCCTCCGGCCTCTCGGGGGGCTCCAGCCAACTCCAGCCGTTGGGGCTCGGGAGCCTCGCCAGGGGACACTCGCCGAGGTAGGGTTCGGTCAGTTGGACCAATCCGTGGCCCATCGCGCCGTTCACGTTCAATTTGCAGTCCCAGTAGGTGGTCTGATACGCCCAGGGAAATCCTCCGTATAATCTCTTCATCGTGGGTCGCATCAGCGCGATCTGTACCTCGTACTTTTTCGACAGTTGGATTTTGTCGTAGAGCATGGTAGCTGTAAGAAATAGTATTATTAATAAGAAGAAATTTTATGCTTTTGATTCTTTCCATAACAAACTTTTAAATTTAAATTTAACAGGTTCCAATTTATCCTCGGGAGCCAATTGTTTTTTAAATTCGTTAATGTCCATTTCGTTCGAGTCGATGTAGGTGACGTTCTCCAGCGGATCCTTGACGTGTCCCAATTTATTTCTGCCAATAAAAAACAATTAATTTCGGATCATGATCACTCCCCAATTCGCAATTCTCACTTTCTCAACGAAGCGCTGCTCTTGGAGTAACAGCAAAAGCTATTTCCGATCTCGTCCAGGCCGATCAGAGTCCATCTCGAGACGGCTGCTGCGGGCCGACTGGATTTGGCCGCGAAGAATCGACGCAGTCCGCGCAGGAACATCTCCCGGCTCTCGTTGTTGCCGAGCCTGACCAGACCCGACATCGAGCCGTACTGATCGATCCGCGCCTTGTCCAACGGCGACTTGTTGTCCAGCCATCTGCGACCGTTGGCCCATCGGGGCTTCGAGGAAGCTACGAATCTGGAGGGGAAAAAAACACCGATCGTATCGACTTTTTCCAATTTCTCTTGTCAAAAACGTTAAACTCACACGAAATTCAATCGGACGTGCTCGAGTCCATGAGCATGGATATCCTCGTCGAGGCTGTTACGCGTGCCTTTTCTCAAAAGACCATTGAATCGTATCCGGGCTCGCCTGTCCTTTTCCAAGACTCGCAGCGTCAGTCCCTGGGCGGACCATTCCTCGTCCCTGTGCTGGGTTATCACCGTGTTCGGATGTTCGGCTAGCTCGTAAACGTCCTCGTCGCTGCTCAAGAGCAGCGTCAGTTCCGATCTGTTGGCCGGATAACGTTTGAGTTCGACGTAGAGGGAATTGCCCCGCTGATCCGCTCCGTAGTAACAGATGGATTTCGTCTCCTGATACGCGACGAGAAATCAGTTTTAAATCGATTTGAATTTATATCGTTGTGGGGGTTCTTACGCTTTTTTCATCGTAACCGTCGATGGTCTCGGGCATGATGTCGCTGGAGTGGCTCGATCTCGGCGCGGAAATTCTACGGTTTTTGGACCCTGTTTCGAAAACAATTTAAATCGAGTGTATTGAATTCAAATTTTCTCTGCTTTGCGCATTATCGAAATACTCTTTCGAATTGGAAAAATTACGCGTTAATTAATAAAAAAAACGAGTACTTGTTTCATTACCTCGGGGTATGGATTTATCGGCTCAACTACCGGTGAGCGTTGAAGAGACACTGATTTGTCAGACAAGGCTTGAACCAATAACAATGTTTGTCAATACAAATACAACGGTCATGTATGAAATTTTGTTATGAAAGGCCTCGTCCTAATGATCGATATACACATCTTGTAAGTTTAACGCTTCAAAATAGATTTTTGACAATTGACTGGGTCAATTAAATTTAACGCCTGCCAATTGACATTTTTCATGAAAACATCTATCGAGTCCGAGATGTGGATTTTTAAAAATGATTAGATCCAACATTTTTCATTTTATAATTGATAAATTAAATTCAAACGTCATGTATATTCTTTAATAATTGATTAATTATAAAATATATGTGTCCAATAATTTTATTAATAAGGGCTTTCTCCTATTTTTTTATATATTAATGCCAATATTTATAATACATTTTTGACGCTTATTCAGGCGCATAATCCACAGAAAGATAACTCATCTGGTCTAAATAAAAACACGTTTTCATGCAAAAGAAAGGTTTACTCAAAATGATTGAAAACAATTTTTTAATTTTAAAAATCCACGAATCTTTAACTGGAAACTTATTCGCGAAAAATAAATCACATCTTGTCCAAAAAAAAGCAAAACCTAGTGTACCTTGTTTGCGATAAAATTGAGACAATTTTTCCCAAGTCATAAAAAGAATGATAAACTTTTTTATTGGTCTCAAATAACTTTATTTGCTCAATTAAAAAAACCTAGTGTACGATGTATGCGAAAAGTTGATGATTTTAAGATATTAAAAATGTCGTTGAGCCTTCATTATTTATTGCGTGTTGGAACTACGAATCATGCGTCACCATTGGAAACAACGCAAAATTTTTTCATTAAAATTTCAAATTTATCGCGCCCACCACAGATGGTAATGCAGCGACCTCGTGCTCCAAGTGCGCGGAGGCGCGTCTGTCGTCTGGTAGCCGCTGGCTGCATCTTCAGTGCCGTGTGTCAGTTGTCACTCACCACGAGCAAGCAACACCGGTTTATCGTTTTTGAAATCGATGAAAACATTTTTTATGAGCGCCGTTGGTCAGCTTTGATCGATCTCAAAGGCACGTTTGATAATCAGGGCTAATTGTGCCGGACATTCCGCGACTCAGCCGACGCTGAATTGCACTCGTTGTCGAGCGTCGAATTGTCTTGGTTATGTCGTACTGACGTTTTCATTGTTTTTATCGCAGATATTTGTAGTATACAAGTGTTTTTGACTTGTTGATCGAATCGACAGCATGTCGGATTTGCCGAACAAAAGGCCCAAGCCCGGGGACGACGAGGAAGACCTGTTGCGCATGCAGCAAGAGTTTCTCGACAAGAAGCTTACTCCCAGTGCCAAGGTAGTAGGTACGAGCAAGAAACAGTCGAAGTTCGCCCAAAAGAGAGAGAATGAGAATGAAAAAAAAAGAATATCCACCAGTCAGGGTGCTGGCTGCGTTACAAATGATGACATCGATATGGGTGAGAATTGATTATTCATGTATTTAATGCGAACAAAAATGAGATTGACGATTGTTTGACAATGTTTCTCCTTTTCAGACAAGTTGGATGATACCCCAACACAAAGAATCGATCCTGTCAATAGGTATTACGATTTAAAAAATACTCACCTGATACTTGGTAACATTGTTGAGCGCAAAGTCGATTTAGCTAGCTTCAATTCGTTTCTTCCTGATTCAAATTCTAATAAGCCAAAAGAGCAGGTAAATAGAATACAAGAAGTTTTATGAAATTAATGGTATGAAATAAAATGTCATTTTTAATGGTTTTGTACAATTCTAGGCAACCGATGATCATAAACTTACTGAATTGAGTAAAATGTCTGCTAGTAATGTCGTCACTGGTGCATTGGCCGAAGATGTACACAGCGAGAATCTTGAAAAACTCAAACAAATGAGCAACGAAGAAATATTAGCTGAAAAAAAAAATCTCGAAGCTACTCTCAGCGCAGAAACATTAGCTTTCATAAAATCTATGAGGAATGCCAAAAATAAATGTAAAGATACTATTCTGGAGATGTGTAAAAAAGATCTGGACTCTGCCAAAGCTTGCAGTAGTAGTGTCGAAGATAAGGTCAGTGATTCAAACGCTGAATTACCAATGGACTCTGAAAACAGTGAGACACTTTCAGGTAAAATGGAAGTTGATTTGGAAGAAGGGTTGAAAGAATTACCAAAGCCGGTGGTTGAAATAGTAAAAACAGCCGAGAAAAAAGGCTGGGTGCACATGGACGAACCCGAGCCGGAAAAGGTTCAGTGGATGGAAGATCTCGCCGAGAAGAAGGCTCAAGCCCCGGCACCGGACGAGCCCTACAACGCTCGATTCGATTTCAACGGCCTGCTGCTGCCGTTCAACGACGACGCGGTGACGGTCGACCGGGGTCTGCATCATCACGGCGAGGAGCCCGAGCGACCGGGCTACGCGCTGCAGGAGCTGCTGCAGCTCACGCGCTCGGCCAATCAGCAGCAGCGCGTCATGGCCCTGACGACGCTGGCCAACATACTGGAGAAGACGCACACGGGCATGTACGATCGCGCCCTGCAGCCGCCGCTGTTCGACACGCTGAACCAGCGCAACCTGCTGCTGCTGCTGCGCTTCGCGCTCGACGACTCGGCGGTGCCCGTGGTCACGGCGGCGCTGCTCGCCCTGCGCGGCTTCCTCTTCAGCGAGACCGACGAGATCTGCCTGGACAAGATGTACGGACTGATGGACGACTTCGAGGAGCCGACCCTCAAGCCGTCGATGGGCGACGTACGGGACACGGAGAGCCTCAAGGATCACGAGCTCGCTCAACTGGACACGGTGGCAGCCGCGATGCGCTCCGACATACTTTTGAGAATAAGGTATGGCATGATTTTTCATGGGCTTTACGAGTCGACCGAGAAATCAATGGTATTTTTTTATTTCAATTTTCAGGTACATCCTGAGTCAGATGAAAATACCGCTGTCCGGCATGAGCGCCGCCTTGGAAATACTGACGAGAATGGCGAGGCACTCGCACGAGACGGCCCTGAACATCGCCTGCACGCCCGATCTCTTGGACGTCGTAGTCACGAAATGCATACCCCTGACGATGAACCAGCACGAGATGAATCGAGACTCCGGCCGTGAATTCGGCTGCCCACTGGTCGCCGCGATCCGTCTGTGCCGCGTCCTCGTGATCCACGCCGGTCGTCCGGCCCTCGAGCGGCTGAAAAATCTGCGCATCCTGCACTCGCTGCTCGCCTACGTCTACAGCGATCCGAATCGCCAGATCGTCCGGCTGCACATCGAGAGTCTGCGGCTGTGGCGTCTGTTTCTGCATCACGGCTACGAGCGCGACAGCGTCGTGGGCTCGAGGATCGTCCTCATTGGCCAGCTGCGCCTGCTGGCCTGCAATCAGGACCTGGAGCAGGCCTCGCCGCTCGCCTGCGACTACGCCGCGGCCGTGGTGGCCCTGGCCAGGTACGACGAGCCCCTCAAGGAGCACGTGGTCGTGCTGCTGGCCAAGTGGAGCACGCAGCTCGCCAAGCTTAAGGAGGCGACCGTGAGTTCGATTTTCTAAACTTTTCCCCTGAACTGATCGAGTCGAATATTCAAAATTAGGATGTTTACAAGTATTTTCTAGTTTTTAATTTTCCAAATAAAAATTTAATTAGCCATTATTATTCCACAAGAATGGTGTTGGTACCTAACTTGAATGTTTGAAAAAAGACAGAAAGAAATAATGACCGTTGATTTTTTTTTCTTCCTTTGCAGTGGAATCAGACAGTGCTTGTAGCCGAGTGTCTGAGAGCTCTGGACAACGTCGGTTTCATGGTCCGCTCCTGGATGAAGAAACATCACGTTTTTCATCACATGAGGTAAGTAAAGAACGATCGCTCGACCGCACGTTTACGCAATCGTCTTTTTTAACGCATAGCGCCGATTCCTCGTTCTTCAGCACGTCGTCGAATCTGCTGAGCGGCCTCGATCCGGCAGCGCAACGGGATCCTTCGTCTCTACCCAGTCTCGGCGTCATGACCTACGAGGGTAAACTACAACCCATCGTGAACCCGAAATCCAAGATATACTTCCTCAAGACTTGTCTCGAGCTCTTCCTCAAGCACGACTGCACCGCCGAGATCGAGCAGATATTCGACAACATGAACTTCAAGAATTACCTGAAACGCCTGACGAGCAAGACGTGGTCGCTCGAGCGCTCCTGGTTCACGCGCGTCGAGTACTCGTTCCTGCTGACGATCATCCAGGCCGAGGCTCGGCTCAAGTGCGCCGAGAAGTACGAGATCAACGAGCTCGTCTGGCGCTGCGCGATCAAGCTCGTGTCGGCGCTGCCGGCCGACTGCGCCAGCAACGTGCGCGACATCCTCGTGTTCAGTCTGGCGCCCGAGCGCATCGATCTGCGCTTCCTCGAGCACGGCTTGCAGCGGCTCGATCTCCAACAGCAGCAACAGCAGCAACAGGAAACAAGTAGCACAAGCAGCAGCAGCAGCCAGGAAAATCCGAGCCTGGCTTGCAAGCTCTACGACAAATTCGTCGCGCGCAGAGGCAGCTGGTCGGAGGCCGCGATGCCCAAGGACTGGGTCTACCTGCCTCTGATCGACTCATACTCGAGGATACGCGAGGACAAGGCCTGGCGGCCCTCGAGCACCGTCGACATACTGAATCTGCTCAAGCTTGAGTCGGTGATGCCGGAGCTCACCCAGGATCTCTCGCCGACTTTGAGATTTAGCCGGCTGGTGCTGCTCTACCTGTGCGACACCGCCTTCATTTTACCGCCCGAGAACGAGCTACCCTCGCGCATGATTGCTCAACTAGGTACGACGAATTTTTCATTCATTCATTCGCTCATTTTTTAACATTAAACCTTTGACTTTCGCAGTGCGAGAGCACTACAAGGAGATCGATCTCGCCGGCGACGTGCCCGGCCTGACCTCGTTCGCCGATCTGTTCACGGTGCTCTGCGAGGGCTTCATCGCCAATTCCTACGGCCAGGCGTGCTTCGCCCAGGCCCTCTGCGTTTTCTTGGCCCAACGCCAGCTGGCCCACTATCGCAAGCTGCTCTGGTCCGAGCACGCGGGCGCTCTGCGCTACATCGGCCTGACGCCCCAGCAGTTGCTGCTGCCCTACGACGAGTATCTGTATCCGGTCGAGCGCGACGTCAGCTTGATCGACTCGTACATCACGGCGCTGGTGCGCGACACCGTGAGGCCCGAGCAGTCGCCGGCGCTCTACAACGTCGCCCTGCATCACGCGGCCATGTTCCTGAAGCGCGCCGAGGAGGGTGGGGAGGAGGATAATGTCGCCCTGGCGAGGAGGCGAAGCGTCGAGAAGATGCTGGCCCAGGAGAGGACGCGAGACTTGGCGGAAAAGTTGCTGAACTACAATCCACCGATTCTCGCGCAGGTACAGCATTGATTTTGATAATACCTTTATTTTTTTTTTTGTATATCTTTATATACATGTGTAAATAAAACTAGAGTAGTCCACGTAAAGATTAGATTGTCATATTTCATAAAAAAATGTGTAAAAAAATAGAAATAAAGAAAAGACTTATACATCAAGTTGAATACCTTTTCTTTTTCAAATCTATCATCTTTCCAGTAATAGGTAAAGAAGAAATTTAACACAAGACACACGCCTTTAATACATTTTTTATCCAACAGTTTTTATTCAAACGGTGGGATTTCAATACAAAATAGATTTTTCATTCTCTATGTTACATTATACATTGCTAATTATATTGTTACGATCTATGTCATATTAGATTACAATGTAAACGCCAGTAGTATTTACAATGTATTTTATTTTTAATTATTTATTTTTTCGAGAAGAGTTTTTTCGCATCTACTATTGCAAGTTTTCTTTATTTTATTTTTTATTTTTATCTTTTTTTTTTCATTTTATTTCCTCGTAATTATTAGTAATAATTATTATTGAGAGTGTAAAAGTGTGCTGTAGCGCATTATATAACTTCTTATTACAAATCGATAATATAATAAATAATTTATTTCTTTTATCATTATTATTATTTAAAATGTAGCATACGAATTATTTTAGCTTCGTATAAAAAGTATGTATAAAAATAAAAGAAAAGTGAATTCGTTATCGTTGACCCTTTCGCGATTTATACTTTTTTTGTTATTTTGTCCTCTTTCGTATTGTTTCGTTTTATTTTTATTTTTATTTTTTAATTTTTTTCGATATGCATTTCAATATTACATTTATTATCGTGCCCCTTTTTGCTTGACCCCCAACCCACCCCCCGCCCTTGTCGGTTACATATATATATGCACAATGAATTACAAGTACGAGCGACGCATTGTTTTTCCACCAAAAATTTTGACAATTGAAACATAACAAGTAACGAGTGATATGATGTATTGCATTTATTATTTTAATTTTTTTTTTCATTTATAACTAGAACAATATCGTATATATAACTCATATTTCGAGTGTAATATACACTCGTCGATCGGTGTGAGCGAGCTGTGTGGGTTTAATACGTATAATCGAATCTTGGTGGTGTTTGCGGCGTAGCACCCGATACAATATAAATGTATTCGAAATACGCGACTCACACGTCATCGTAATATTCATTTATTAAAGATTAAAGAAGTTTTCAACGTATCGTAAAATAGTAATAAGTAAAAAACAAGGCAATGACAGTCTTGTCGCTTGTATTAGTTATAGTTATCATTATTATGATTATTTATATTATTATTGAGATTGCATGCAGAAAAGATTGTAATCTTTCGGTGTAATAACTGTCAACAACGATAAACAATTACATTTCTCAGCTCGACTCTTCTTTTAATTTCTTTTGGTTTCGTTTATCGTCGACGCAATATTTTTCTATTTCACTTTTCTCCGAACGAGCTCGAGAAAGAATAGAGAATTTATCAGAATATATATTGAGTATAAGTAACGAGTATTATAAAATCAAATAGTTAACTTTCAATAGTTTTTTTTTTTTCATCCTTTTTTTTTGTTTTATCCTTTTTCGTCAAATATCGACGGGCAAATGAACGATCAAGAGTGATATGCAATTGCGTTTTGGGAAATATGTATATTATCCATTAGGTACCAGTTTTCAGCCTTGCGAAATATATATTTTATACAATACAATATGTAATCTCGACGTTCGGTATGTAACGTATAGACTATTGCGTTATCTTCAAAAATACAACAATGTTTGTTTGGCTCACTTCGAAACTTGGTCCTAAGTTATACTCTTCGCGAAATTCGAAAATGATATTTTTTTTCGTTCTTTCAACTGTGCTCGTAGAAAAAAATCATACATGTGAGAATCGAAGAAACGTGTTATTTATTGCTTGTTCGTTATTAAACGGAGACACACTTGGAACTGAAAACTGCCAGAGATGGACTACTATTCGTTCTGTATCCTACGAAGCAATTACATCTTATTTGTCTACACGGCGTTTCTAATCTATTCGTTTGCTTGCGCAACTCGTTTATTTATCTACATAATATTCGATTTCGAAAAAGCGTCATTTCGTCATTAATTATTGCGAGAAAGTCTATACCGATACGAGAAGAGTATAAAAGTGCTACTTTACCGACGGAACGAGAATTAAGCACAGTGATCTATTATGATTCAAAAATCGCGAGTGAAACTCCGTGTCGGTATCTCGAAGTAACCGTATACATAAAGACATTAAATATTATCATAATAATTAAATAATAGGAAACATTATTAACGATGATTGATTGCGCGGTCGGTAAAACAGCGCGCGTCCTTCCTCTCCCCTTTTCCCCCTCGAACTTCGCCGTTACGAATCAGCTGATATGTATCATTATTATATTGTATATCAAAGCATGTCCGTGATGAAACACGCAAAACGAATGTGCTCTTTTTAGCGAGAGAGATTGAATTACATAAGCAATTGTAACGATATATAATGTAATAAAAAGCACACGCAATAGCTGACGTATTCTGTGTATATAATATTTTGCGACGTACAAATTATCGAAAGATCTATCTAAAGTCGGTAAAGTAGACCGAGGCAGCCTCCTATAGCTCCTAAATAAATTTTTTTTTTCTATAAAATCTTCTTCCGTTTCCGTTTGTAATCCCTTAAAAAAGCGTCATTACGGCAGGCAAAAAGCGACGCTACTCTTTTAATTTAGCCATATTAATTACGATAACGTGTATATAAAGATAGGTATCTTGTCGAAGTTAATTAAAGTAGTGAAACGAATATTTCCAATGTTATTTTTTTTTTTTTTTCTTTTTGTTTACCCTCACTCGTGGCTGCCGAAAATCCTGGGCATCGTTACACGCGCTTAACGCACGAAGCAGCGTCAATTCACCAGGATAGGATAGATCCTCGATGAAAGCCGGGGTCAGGTGGTCGAGTTGATCTTCTGATACATCTCGCGGTCGACCATCACCAGACTACCCTCGACGCTCGAGCAGTCGAGCTCGATGCAGTGCAGCCGCGAGCCCCACTCGCAGTGGCTCTGGTCGTCCGCCCGATAATACTTGATCTGGAGGCGGATGATGAGCTCGCCCGAGTCGAGGACGCACATGTAGATGGGCAGCTCCTCGCGCTCGCCCCGCTTGCTCGGCTCCTTGTCCTTGGTGCTGTGGTAGGCGCTGTAGGCGCTGGCGTTTCGGTCCCGGGCGCGCTCCACCGCCTCCACGTCCTTGCCGCCGATCGTCATCTGTCTGTGACGCGATTTTTATTATTATATGCAAAGTAGCGAAGATGTATAAAAAAGAAAAAAAAACTTGCCCGCGCGTCCGTTCGAGTTAATAATAAGCATCGCGAAGTAAAAAGGTTTCATACATCGTTATCTTTCATTCCTCTCTAAGCTCGTTATAAGTGCATATATACCGGCTTGCTTGTCTAAAGTCTGTCCGTGTACGTGTACATGTGGCGTTGTACCTTGTCAAGATTATAAAACTTATTAAAAATGGATAAATATCGCGTTATGTAGGTCGATTCTTTTTTTTCTCTCTCTCGGTGATACTTTGTGTAACGTCAACTTGCGTGTGTTAGTCGAGCTTCACTCAAGTGTCGCATAATATTGACTTTTTTAGACGTTTTTTTTTTTTTTTTAATCTAATACCCACGATAAATTGAAGTTTCTCATCGAAGTATAACATCGATATTCGCGTGTTTAAGCAGCGCGGCAAAGAGGAGAGAGAGAGAGAGAAAAAAATTATATCACTTTCGACGTTGTATACGTATATACACTACACACACACGAACACATACGCCCGACTTAGAGAATGTATTTTCCAACTTTATCGAATTAAAGTATTATTGGTTGTCGGAGCTTAGGGAAGTTGCTTTCTACTGTGGTCAATGTCGTCTTAATGTGTGTGCGCTGTGTATCTATATATGTATATAAATTACCGATGCTAAAATAAACCCGAGATGCTGTTCGTGAAATTTTTTCTTTTGCTCCCTTTCTCTCTCCCTCGACGACGACGAGGAAAGATGAAAAATCGAACTCGCTTGATAATACCGTGAGAAATGGGCCGGATTTGTACAGAATGGAAAATCCTCCGAGGACTATTAAACGGAGATAAGAGAGAGAGAGAGAGAACAAATGGTGTCTCGACGACGATGACGACGACTACGACAAAAAAAAATGGCATTCTCGTTGAAATGGAGCAGGTGTAATCACGAGTCGAGTTGGCAAGAAGCGGGCGGCGAGAGAGGTATTTTTATTAATTCGGTCGATTTTTTTTGGTTCGTTCTTTTTTTGTAAAGACTCGGAAATCGTAGAAAGTCAAGTGCGTGTGTGTATTACTCGTGTCTGTACAAAACAACAACAACAACAACAACAACAACAACAACAAAAAGATCGTGTCGTTGTTGCGGCTAATAATAACCGATTGTTCGTCGGAATCGAACTCTCGAGTCGCTGCTCTCATAGCTGTATTATAATTTCGAGCCGCTGCTGTTTTTTTTCGTCCGTCGTGAAGCACGTCGACGAGTGAGAGAGAGAGAGAAGTTTGCTAATGAATAATTCACGTTTAATATGGAGAACCTCTCTTAGCAGCCCACTCATTGTTCCTCTCGCTCTCTCGCCAGCTGTATTATAACCATCGTCTCTTGTTTCGCGATGCCTTTTTTTGTTCGTTCTTTTATACTCTCGTCTCTCTCGCGTATACATATTTTTTTTTTGCATAAAAGACATTGGAAACCGCGACGAGAGTGTCCAGAAACAATACACGCTGAAGGGGGGGGAGCGTATAGAAGGCTGATTGTATAGCGACTCGTACTACTTACATCGATATACCCTCTTTTTCCATGAAATCGAATAACGCATAGAGTCAAGTAGAAAAAAGAAAGTTTCGAGGCTCATAAGAATAATTATTAGCTACGATACGCACCGTCCCAAAAAAAAAAAAAAAAACAGAAATAGAAGAAAAAACGGGGTTGTCCCGCGCCGATCGCGCGCCCGCGTTACACAACCTTTATATATACGTATGCGGCATTAGTATACGATTATTACAAACACGCGACGAACGAAGTGTGTAATGTTGCTGTATATAACTGCCTGTGTGCGAGCAGTAAAGTGGAACACGTGCTTACACGCGGCCAATACAGGTATATATCGTCGTCGTCGTCGTCGTCGGAGTAGTAGTAGTACAACGACTACCGACTACGTCCCCAATTTTATAAACACGCGTTACGATAATAATATTATACGCATATATATCGTCCGCGTAAAGGCGCGCGCTTGTGTGTACATACGTAAGCTCATTCAACTGCGCGCTCGCATACGTGCATTTTTTTGATAAATTTTTTTTTTCGTTGCTTCTCTTCGGGACAAACAAATGTGCATATGTATATACTCACTGCAGCACTTGGGGCGGCCTGAAGCTCACGTCGAACCTGTAGGTGCACCCGGCCGAGAGCTTGACGGTCTTGATCTGGGCGTACTTGCCGGGCGTTTCCATTTTGCAGTAGATTGGCCCGCCATGGGGCTCGCGCTTCATCACCAGCGTCAGGCGAAAGTGAGCAGCAGCTTGGGCCGCACAGCTTCCGCGCTGCATCGGTCTCCATGACCGACCTCCCCTCAGGCCCCCAGCTTCGGCAGAGGATGATCAGCGGTCTCCTTTACACGCTCGTTGCTTTCTTTCACAATTTTTTCTCCTTCTTCGTCTCGTTTATTCGATCACATCGTTCAACCGCACAACCATAAACAATGTCAACTATCTCTTACTTCTATATAATTAACGTACGATGTAACGTCACGGGACTTTATTAAACTTTATTCATTTATCACAGTATCGTGGCTGCATCGTGGCTCTATCTCTCTCTCTCTTACGCAGCAGCCGTAGCCGTAGCAGCAGCTGGGGACTGCTGCAAGCAACTACCCCGACGAGCAGCTCGGAAACACCGCTTTGGCTTCCAACTGCAACGCACACACACACACACACACTCGCGGCTAGGCGCGCATCACTCTCTCTCTCTCCCTCGCGCTGCACCTACCTACCTACCTACCTACCTACCTACCTACCTACCTACCTCTACCCACCTATATATACATATATTTCTATCTCTCTACACCACTCCGTGTGCTCCTTATTTTCAATCTATATATATGTACGATCGCAAGCTCGGAGCTTGCAAGCAGCACGCAGGTGTATAGTCGTTATAAAGGCAGAGGGAGAGGGAGGGGCAGGCTGCAGTCCAAAAGGGAGGGAGGGAGTTAGTACAGTACGTACGGTATACGGTAGGTAGTAGCTACTGCGGCAGAAACAGGAGGTGTCGATGGTGCGCCGCTGCTGTCGCTGCCGCTGCTGCTGCTGCTGGTAGATCATTGCGTATATCTATACGTATAGCAAGAGGCTACTCTAGTCCCTGTAGCTCGTAAAGCTTTTCCGGATTTCAGGAAACTTCATTTCTTCTTCCGCCTTCCTCCTCTCTCTCTCACACTTTCCTCTCTACTTTTTGTATCGAGCGATCCTGCGGACCGATTGCTTCTTTTGTACTCTCTCTCTCTCTACACGTGCCTTGCGTACTGTAAACGGGCGCAAAGTAATTAACAAAATAAAAAATCCTTTGTGCCAGCTCTCTCTCTCTCTCTCGTTCGTTCTTTCTCCCGTGTAAAGTGCAGCACCCGCTTGACCGAGAGCTTCTTTTTCTTTTTTTTTTTTTTTTATTCCTTCGCAAACCTTTTACCCGAGCCAAGCCTGTATATTGCATTGCATTGTATTCTGCAAAGTAAAAAGTCTCTCGTGTAGCGTACACCGTGATTTATGTATATACACGCGGCTTGTACAAATTGGAGTCAACGATTGGCACACTACTCCCTCCCTCCTACCGTCTCGCCCTCTTACGCGCGGCACATTATGCGCGTTTACGTACGTGCGCTCGCGGGCGTGTTATCGCTCGTGCACCCACATCGAGAGAAAAGAGAAACTTTTGCCTTCGAGCCGCCGCTCTCCGTCGAGCTTGCGACGGAGTTAGTAGCTTATACGACCCCCTTTCCAACTCTCTCTCTCTCTCTCTCTCTCTTATATGTACGAGTTTGCATTTTGCAAGCTCGCTCGCTCGGGTGCGATTGCTAATGCGCGCCGCTTCTTCTTCTTCTTCGTCTTCTTCTTTTTCTTCCCAGAGCTCGAGAGAGACAGACCGATGTTGATCTTTCGAGAGGAGGCAGAGCGAAAAAAAAGCTTTACGTGGCCCTTCGCGCGCGCGAAAAGAAAGGCGCGAACGGCGGCGAGTTGCATACACGCAAAAGAGAGAGAGAGAGAGAGCTCGACTGGGGGGTAATAGGTCAAAAGAGAGCTGCTAAAGCACCGAGGCACAGAGAGAGAGAGAGAATATTTGAAAGATCAGCTCGTTCTATACGGGCGCTGTACATTATATACGCGCGTCGCTCTTTATGAGCCGGAAAAAGAGTCGTGTCTCTATGTATGCGACATCGTGAAAGGACTAGCTTATAAAATGAAAAAAGACGATGTCGCGCGCATTGTGTGTGCGTATATACGAGCGAAACTTTGCGAAAGCTCTCGCCTACATATAGGCGTATAACGCGTGTATTAAAATATATAGCGAAAGAGAGAGAGAGGAAGAGTATAAAAAGAAAAGTCAAAGTTGATGTCAGGCCAGGAGAATGTACATAAACATCCTTTGCTTGTTACAAAGTAGTAGTAGTAGTAGTACCTAATAGTTTCGGGCCGCGCGCCGGATTGTGACACGGAAGAGGAAGGGAAGGCAATAAAACGACGTCGTGTGTCGGGCAAACACAATGCGATCGATTAGTGTGTCTTATATATACAAATCGAGCGAGCGAAGTGATTCGTGTTTCCTTACTCGTGATTAGAAGATGAAAAAAATAAAGAAAAACGATTATCGATTCGATTCCACGGCCGATATTTTCGTTGGCGAAAATAAGATCGAGATGACCACATACAGCGCGTGATATGTATAATCTTCGAGTCGAGCGAGCTTTTTTCCGAGCTTTTCTTGTGTATGCTTTCATACATATATCACGCAGCGTCTCGAGTCGTCCTCCCTGCATCGGAGATTATTATCATTGCATTACGCAATCGTACACATAGATGTACGTGCGGATCGAGCCGCGCGCATTTCGCTCCATTCGTAATTCGCCGCGCTCAGGTATACTATATAGCGATGATAACGCGCATAAGCTCTCTTATATTATAATATATATAAATGCGCGTGTGCGTTATGTAAAGCGCGCCGCGACACCTTGCATGCATTATATTATATGTACCTCTGCACCCTCGCCTTCGGTGCTGGTATATAGCACATATATATGTATATGGGTCAAGCCGATTGCTCGCGTGTGTATATAATGCACCCACCGGCGGCTGAGAGAGAGAGAATATTTTGCGCCTCGAATCATCGTCGTTTGTGTGTGTCGGGAGGCCGGCGGCAGCGAGCTGAATATTGCACACGGGCTATTCACCTGTGTGCGCGCCGCACGGCGAGTCAGGCATAGTGCAGCGATTGTATAATGATGCCCGATTCACCCCGACGCGGTAATACAAGTCTCTGCGGAGCGTCTTTGAAATCGATATATATATAGATGCAGTAGCTTCGAAAAATAATAACATCGAGATACGTAATTTTGTCACTCGTTGTACTCTGCGCCCGCGTGAAAAAGTTCTGGTTTCGCGCTGATTTGGCGAAACTTTCATGCAAAAAAACTTTTGTTTAATTTCCAACGAACTTTTAGGGCCTGTGCAACTCGCCGAACTTGCGCTTTTGGTACAAGTTTATGACAAAACTTGATATAAATTTCGGATCTAAAAGTTTTGGTTAATTGCACTTGGGGAAAGTAATGAATAACTCACGCCTTTTGTTTCAAAATCAATTAATTAATTGAATCAAGCGAAATTTTACCACTTACGAGTTTATGAATGTTAATCGACTAATAGCCAAGTAAGTAGTAAGTTTGACGAGTCGCGCGGGTCAATGTTTGTACAAAGTTAAAACAAATTTGGTAAATTCGTCGAAGTTAGAAGAACTTTTGCGGAAGAAAAATTTTTTTACGCGGGTGTAGATTCATTAGGAATGAAATTAAAGGGCTCTAATCTTTGTAACTCTCTCATTTAGAATATACACTATATTCATGTTCAATTTAATTTTTGGAATATCTGCCCGCATTTACACGTATACGCGCGTATATAATATTGACACTTCGCGAGGCGATAATTCGGTAATGATATTTCCACGCGGTATATCCGACGCGATGACGCCATGATGGAATTAATCGATGGCGTGTGCCACATGCAAAATCAAAACCGACGTACTCTTCATTATATATTATAGTATATAATACGCGGAAAAGTCGTTGGCTCTCGGCTAATTAACCGCTTATATGTATACGCCAAAAGGTAATTATATGGCCTAGTTTCATTTCTTTTTCTCTCTTTCTTTTTTTTCTCTCTCTCTCTCTCTCTCTCTACCGCCGGTGTTGCCACGAGCTTTCATTATACGCGATGCGGGGGGATGACGTCCTATAAATATTACAAGCCGAGCGATCCTGTCGATTCGCGAGCGACGACCGCACACAAAAGAATAAATCGGCGCGAGCTCTACATTTCGCTTCCTGCATTTTTTTCTTTTTTCTTTCTTTCTGCTGTCATTCTGCGAAAATCTTTTACCTCCCAACCCTGCTGTATTCATGAGAGATAGGCCTGCGTGCAGAGAAAGAATGATTATCGGATGTTTCTCTGCCTATATATATGCGTCGAGGAATAGAAAAGTAACAAAAAAGTAAAAAAAAAATGTGGCACACACGTAAAGACGTCGGCGGGGCGGCGCGACTGGCGTGCTGCGTTTGACAAGTTGCCGATACATAACGTTTCGTGAATTTTGTATCGCCTGTATATATTCGAGGATCGTACGTGCTACAAACACACACACACACACACACACACACACACACACACACACACGGCCTCCTTGGCTCAGTGGGTATAGTTCTTGCCTGCTGATACAAGGTACGCCGTAGGGCGTGGGTTCGATCCCCACCGGACGAATTTTCGAGATTCGTTTTTTCGCCTGGTGTGGTCGAGCCTGTGCCTGAGGTGGAGCGGGTACCACTCAAAAAGAAGACCCGGGCTATGTCATCAGCCTCCGAAGCGGTAAAAAACCCCGATCACTGTGCGAGCTGGAAGCGATAGGAAAACCATAAGTAGGAGCCCGAGGCGAGGACTCACAAGGCTGGCAATAGATGGAGCACACCACTCCCATGATGAAGTCGGAAGCGAGAACCACACACNAAAAAAAAAAAAAAAAAAAAAAAAAAAAAAAAAAAAAAAAAAAAAAAAAAAAAAAAAAAAAAAAAAAAAAAAAAAAAAAAAAAAAAAAAAAAAAAAAAAAAAAAAAAAAAAAAAAAAAAAAAAAAAAAAAAAAAAAAAAAAAAAAAAAAAAAAAAAAAAAAAAAAAAAAAAAAAAAAAAAAAAAAAAAAAAAAAAAAAAAAAAAAAAAAAAAAAAAAAAAAAAAAAAAAAAAAAAAAAAAAAAAAAAAAAAAAAAAAAAAAAAAAAAAAAAAAAAAAAAAAAAAAAAAAAAAAAAAAAAAAAAAAAAAAAAAAAAAAAAAAAAAAAAAAAAAAAAAAAAAAAAAAAAAAAAAAAAAAAAAAAAAAAAAAAAAAAAAAAAAAAAAAAAAAAAAAAAAAAAAAAAAAAAAAAAAAAAAAAAAAAAAAAAAAAAAAAAAAAAAAAAAAAAAAAAAAAAAAAAAAAAAAAAAAAAAAAAAAAAAAAAAAAAAAAAAAAAAAAAAAAAAAAAAAAAAAAAAAAAAAAAAAAAAAAAAAAAAAAAAAAAAAAAAAAAAAAAACACACACACACACATTCTCACAGATATAATAATATTATTATAATTTCAATGATTCATGCGCTAGACTCACACACGCGCCCCGCACACGCGTAAATATATTTATTATTTAATCTACATACCGCACGTGCATATATACGAATGCAATTTTACGTATTCAAGTCGCGAGCTACTACTGCGAGTTCGATCGATCGATATTATGATAAATATATTAAATTTCTAATTCCACTTGTGCCTTTTCCATTATTACGCGCGCGCGCGACTCTCGTTGCGCCTCTTCTTTTCAATTCGAAAACTCGATATTATTTCGAACGCTCGGCTGGCGGTAATTACACACACGCGTCCCACATGGCAGCGCAGTAATTACAAAGAGCAGAAAAAAGAGTCGAAATAACAAACGATAACGATATATATGTAACGCAATTATACCGTTTTTATTATTTACATAAAAAATGCACGTGCGGTTACTCTCTTTCTCTGCTGCTGCTGCTGTTGCTGTTACTGCTGCAGCGATCAACGCGTATACGTACGACACGCGATAAGTAACCTTGGCACAAATATTATGGGTGAAAAAAAAGAAAAAAAGAAACAACGTAGGTAGCATATAGCAGTGGCATCGGCAGCGACGGGGGAGTGAAAAAAAAGGGAGCAGAGCAAAAAAAAAAAAAAGCAGCGCCACTTCATCGATTCTCAGCCGCCCGCTTATAAATACTCTCGTTATCGGTGTGAACGTGTGTGGTCGCTCGCGGGGAGAATGGTGGATTTGCTCAGCCACACACACATACACAGTCAAGTTGCACCTACAGTTGGAAATACATCACAGCAGCGGAGACCTACACACACACACACACATAGCTGAGAACTTATAAGACTTTTTCTCGCATGTGTGTGTGTGTGTGTGTGTGTGGGAGCTTGTGGCACTGCACACGAGCCGTTGACCCGGCCAGTAGGGTATAGTACAGTTACACTGGCATATAGCCGTAATGTATAAACGAGGTCTGCATTAAAGGCGCTGCACACAGTTCGCACACACACACACACACACACACACACACACACACACACACACGAACTCTTATACACATGGCCCAGATTGGCGCGTTATACTACTGCAGGTGTATTAGGCTATTATAGGTATATAAAAGCCACCGTCGCCGCCGCGCGGTTACTTTTTCGGCCTCACGCTGTATAATAAATTATTATATATATACGGACTCGATGTTAGTTATGATAGATATATCGTATAATGCGTTATTGCCGAGGAAGAGCGATATCGAGGCCAAGGAGCGATGAGAAAACACCCGAATTTTTATCGTCGTATGTGCGAGACTTGTTTTATTTATTTTTTTTTATTTTACGCCTTTGAAATTGGGCGCCTTTCGGAGTAAACTTTTATGTGTACGTAACTTTTTTATCTCCCTCTCTCTCTCTCGCTCTATATATACGATGTATAAGGCAAAGTTTCGTTGTATTATGCATACGAGTGCAGCTGTCGTCGTCTTTCGAACTTTGCCAACTAAATGTACGTATCGCTGACTGCATATATATAATCTTCGTTATTATACGATCGTGCTCTGTTCTTCGTCAAAAAAATAAAAACAAAGACAAAGTCGTTATTTTCGTCTCAATTTTATTTCATTGCATCCTACATACACGATATACAAAAAGCAAAAACAACAACAATTAAATCCTACACGGCATCGTCATCATCGCGCTCGATAAATCGGATAACCGACAATGTTGCCGGAGGGCCCGTAATTGCAGACCAGGTACAGAGTGTTGTAGCGTCCGTCCCTGTACCTCGTCGAGCCGCAGCCGACGTAGCTCGTGTCGGCCCACACGATCTGCGTGTAGGTGCCGACGTAGCGTTGATCGGCGCCCCGATTGCGAAACCCGGCCGAGACCCGGGCGCCGTCGTGATAGACCACCTGGTCGTACCAGTCCTGGACGATGGATGTCACGCGGAGACTGTGGGCGTTGCCGGTGGTGCCGCGATAGCCGACGCTCTGGCCCACGGGGAAGCGCTCGGTGTTGCGGCACGAGTCGACGCTCTGGCGACAGGTGTTGGCCCAGCGCTGGGCCATGGCCGCGAGCTCGTTGTCCCATACCTGCGTGGAGTCAGGATATTACACTCCGTTACAATTCGTTACGCTCCAATGAAAATATTGGATTGGTTCTTACCCTAACGGAAATCGTTTCTTCTAGCAAAAATTAATAAAAGTTTTATAAACTTCTATTAAATTTTTATTAATTGATATAAACATTCGGATACGATGCTCTAATAAGAGTTAGTAAAAGTTTTTTTCATTTTCCAGTTACAATATTGTCAATTTTTATAGAAAGTTATAATCTATTCATAAAAATTATTTCATGTTTGTGAAAGATATTAAAAGTTTATCGATCTTTTTATTTAGCAATTTCAAAATTTGAATGAGCTTTTGAACCAGACATTATACGATACTTTTGTTTTCATATTCGTTAACTACATTGAATTCTCAACAAGTGTCTGAATGTACCATGAATGCATGTGCGTGACAAGAATTTTCAAAAATCTTATGTAAGATCTTACGTATGATTATCGACAGTAAAAGATCCGACACCAGTTCTTAAAGCTCTAATTATCAACTCTGAAAATTTTTTTTTTCTTCAAAATTTCACACAAGACTTTTTCTACAAGTTCTTCATAAGAACTTTCGTAAGATCTTAAATAAGATCCTACTTATGGTTATCAGCCGTGTATGTTCTTACTTAACTATTTACACGAGTTCTTACGTAAAAACTTACACAAGAACGTATATTTTTTACTAGCCAATAATTAATCAAAACTTTAAAACTAATGTCAGAATTTTAAATATCAATAATACGTAAGATCTTACGAAAGCTCTTGTTAAGAACATTTGTAAAACGGGGTGTACTTACCAAATCGGGCATGTAGCGCGCCGCCGGCTGTGGCCCGGGACTGCCCCTCGTCTCCAATCCCTGGGCCACCCTCTGCCTCAGCTGATTGTGCAGCTTGACGATCGACTGCTTCTCGGCCTCGAGCAGGCCGTAAGCTATCAGATCCGTGCAGTTGGCCGACGGGCCTGTATTCTAGAACGCCGCCGTTTTATATATCGTTCGATCTTAAATAGCATTTATAACGACGACGACGACTCACCGGATAGAGGCAGACCGTGTGGTCGGCGCAGAGATCGCAGTACTTCTGGACGCTCAGCAGATTGCCCGAGAACGTCATGAACAGGTACTGCATGAAGTTGCTGAGGCCCTGCATCTTGACGCAGAATCAAATTCCGATTCAAGGAAGAAGAGAGGAGCCGAAAAAAAAACCTCGCGACACGATTTTTCGCCGCTAATTTATATAGGCGCCGCGCGAACGAGACGAGTCGAGTCTCGCGGTGATCGCGCGATTTATCTTATCGTCGAGAAAGTGTGCAAGTATTAATGTCAAAAGAGCAAAGGTAGGCAATAAAAAAAAAAATCAACTAATTTGCGCTTGACTTCTTTGTGTCTGTCTTTTTTTTTCTCATTATTATTTCAATGTTATACAATCCGGCCGATAAACAAAATCAGGCGCTGTATCGATTGAAAATTTGGTCTCGTCCTTGGCAGGATCGCGAGCTAGCGATCCACGTCGGCTCGTCGACGTAAATTCATCGCTCGAAACTCGAAGCGAGAGAGGCGAAGATTTCCTTTTTCCTATTAAATTTATACGCTCGACGAGATTTTCGGGACAATTAGTTTTTCTTTCTCTTATCGAGGACAATAAATTCGTCATCGCGAGCGCGTGACTCTCGATTATTAAGCCTCCGCGAGGAGGATTAGATTTCATCATCATCGTTTTATTCTTTGTAAATATCAAAGGATTTTCCCGCATCGAAACGCATAATAAGTGAAGCGATTTTTTCACAAAGAAAAGAATCGTTATTATACAGCTGTATCCGGAAGCAACGAAAAAAAAACCCCGAATAACAATTCATTTACACCGCTCTCGGCTTGATATATTCCTTAAAATAATAAACACGATCGATCCCGTGAGAGCTGCTGCTGCTGCTGCTCTGTGCAGCGAGTGCATTTTATTGCCGCGCGCGCGCAAAAAAAAAAAAAGATAATCGTATCGATATACTCACGCGAGCTTTTTTTGGGGGGTCGCGCGTCGTTGATTTACGATCACCGCGGAGCAAGCACTATATGATTTTATTAAAGGTAGGTATAGAGGATATAAAATGCATGTCACGATGTTATCTCTTTTTTTGGACGATGCAGCACAACGGCAATATCGAGAAGGCACGAATGATACATGCCCCCCTCGTGCGCGATACGTGTGTGATAATGAAATTTCAAAATAACGTTCGAAAATGTTATCGTTGTCGTCCGCGATTTATTTATTTATTTTTTTCATTTTTCATCAATACGTTTACTGGTGTAACATTAGAATCTCGAACTGGAGTACACAATTCGACACCGCGAAAAGTCCTATGCTACCTGTCGGATTCGCAATTGGCGAATATTTCAGCGCGCAGAATCGTTGAGGTTAAGATCATCCGGCGAATCAGTAATTATAAACGCGCCTTTTTTTTTCGTCTGCAGCAGCAGTAAGCAGGTTGTGTTGTGGTGTGGTGCTGCGCTGTGCCTGTGCGACAGATTGAAAAAGACAAGCCGGAGCAAGGCTGCAGAGCAGCGTTCGAGAGAGCTCTCGTGGAAAAATCAGTGGCTGCATCGTGCGCGTGGGTGTGTCTGTGTTCGTGTCTATGTGCGTGTGTGCGCGCGTAATCGTCTTGCCGATACAAAATAATACACATATAGTAAACGAGGCTGACAAAAAATAATAACGAGTGGGCCGAAATTCGTGCAAGGATCTTTCGGGAGACGAAATCGCGCGCGCGCGCTTTGTGTTGAGTGTGTGCATGCGTGTGTGCGTGCGCGCGTGATGAGCAGCGGTTAAAAAGATGTCAAAGAGACTGCCGAGAGGTGGCCACAAAAATGTTTACTCGCCGGCGAAGAGGCAGAGGCTCGACGTCACCCGGGAGTCGTCGAACCTGTCTCAGCAGCAGCAGCAGTCGTCCTCGAACGCCAGATACGCGACCGCGGACAGCTGCAGGCCGAGCACCAGCAGCAACGGCAGCAGCAGCAGCAACAACAACAACAACAATGGACTCGTGCCGATTCAAAGTGCCAATGCCTTCGAGGACCTGTGGGGCGACGACGATTTCGATCCCGGCGACGACGAGCTCGAGGAGCTGGACTTCATCGCGTCGCAAGCCACGCAGGAGGACAGAGTTTTCAAACCGCCGCAGCCGCCTGCGCCTGCACCGAGCAAAGTCTCGCCGGGTGCCGCCGGTGCATCGAGGAACAATGGAACCGTCGTCGTCAAGGCCAGCCAGCAATTCACCATCGTTCAGTCTCAGATGTTGGCCTCCTCGTCGTCGAGCTGCATATCCAAGGAGATAGAGGAGTGCTCCCAGGCGTTCGAGTTCGACGACTTCGAAAAGGATGTCAAGAGCAATTACCACAATTCGACGTTTTGCCCTAAACCAGCGAATTCAACGTCGAATATAGTTTTGGTCTCCGGTGAGTGTATCATTTTTGGGCCCTTTGTGTTTTTGAACCCTGTCGAGTATTTATAATTTTGTTACATTCGCCTTTCAGATGGAGAAGAGGTAGCTAAACTGAAGGAAGAGAATAAGAAACTTCTGGATGACTTCATGACGAAAGAGGGAGAGACTGAATTTTTACGCCAGCACTTGAATCAAATGCAACAGAGGTACGAAGCTGCCAAGAAAGAACAGGAGCGCATTATAAAGGAGGAAAGAATGAAATTCGAAGCTGATAGGAATGAGTTGATGAAGAAAAACACAGCTTTAGAATCTGAATTACAATTAAAGGTAAATTTCATACAAATATTTACCAGTATTATACTGCCATGAATCTGAAATTTAATGAGTCCTGAATTACAGACTTTCAATCTCAACTCCATGTCTGAAAAAGTGGAAATCTTAAAATCAGGCTCTATGAAGCTAGCTCAACCATCTGTCAATAAAATGAAAAGTCAAAAAAGTGTAATGAACGCATCAACGAATAATTTTTCAGCTTTGAATAGGTAAGCTTTTTTTTTTTATTCAATTGTTCAATACAATTAAAATTTTCAGCTGTCAATATATGTAAATATACATTTCTTTCCATTTCTATAGCTCTTTTAAAAAAACGAAAACCAAAGAAGTGAGTACACAGATTGAAGAGTCCGCAAAGTATGAAATTTTGAAAACTTCCATTATACGTGAGTAAAACATAAGTCATAAAACCAATTTATAATCAATATCAATGTCAACTAAAATAAATGCATATAACTAATATGAAAAATAATATTTTAGACTATCCTCTCAAAATAGTTCCTAGCTGTGTATTCGAAACAGCTGAATCAGAAAAATCTGTCATCGAAATCAAAATAGAAGAAAAAACGGGTAAAAAGAATTTAGCCATAGTTCAAGATGAAGAAACATTCCGAATTTTTGGTGAGTAAATGACATTCAATCATAACGAATTGCTTTTAACGAATTGCTTTTAATCAACAGAAAATCCCGAACTTTCCAAGCCAAAATTAACAACTGTGAATGGGAAGAATTTGACCACAGAATTTTATTTATGCGACTTGGCAGAATTGATAGAAAAAACAAGCTACGAAATAAACTCCACGGAATGCATTCCAAAAATCAACAAGATCGTAGCAACTGCTCGCGAGCTCCTGTTGAATTCAACTCTGGTCCTGCAGAAAATATCCGAAGCCATGCAGAACGATGACATTCGCGACATGAACGAGCTCTACATGTCCGAATTTTACGAGCTTCCCGTGTCCCACACGCACAACTTTTGCGAGGCCAAGGCCTGGTACGATCTCGAGCGCGGGGTCGAGACGCGGCGAGCCGTCGGCCTGCTCTCTCATCTCGTCAGCGCGTCGGATTATCTGGCCGATTACGTATGTGGAAATCGAAAATTGCAAGTGAAAGGCGACAAGGAATTCGAGAGCTATGCCAAACAAATGAACAGCTATAACTCCTGGTACAGAAAGGGTTGTACTTATGAATTTCTGGATTTGATTGTGGATTTTGTCACTATCGTTGGAACGATAGTAAGACTAACTTTGCTGACTCGTCTTACATTTGTAATTATTTTTCCTAAATGTATCATTTCTGTTTTCAGAGAAGATCCCATCAATTCACAGGACTGTTAATAGCTATTATGACTTTGATTTCGAATGTACAACATAAAATGAATTCCGATGGGTAAGTCATGATTGAAATTGAAAAATATTCTAAATGATAAACTTTTTAACTCATTTTACAGTATCAGGAGAATATTTACCATAGTCAAAGAAATAACATTTAGCAGGCCTTTACTCTCGACTTTTATTTCTCTTTGCAAAACAATGAAAGTTTATTCCTTGTATCCTAGTTTTGCAAATAAATTTTGTGTTGCTCCAAAACATAGTGGTATAACCTACTGGTCTGGTTCTCCTCATTTTACAAAAGGTATGATAACTTTGTACATAATGTTTTTGTAATGTTTGTTATTTATATTATGACTCTTATAAAATAATTTATATTTTAGACGCTTGTACAATAGAAGTATTAATTGCTCAACTAGAAAATTTTAAGCTGGACCCTGTAACTATGATCCATATAACAATGGATTTAACTAGATTTAGTAACGTGGCACTGATAAATAAGTGCATTCCTTGGTTGGAACAAACGATATATACGTGTAATTGTTGTTTAAAATTGTTGAAGTTTGTTCTTTTTAACTTGTGTGAATGTTCTAAAATAAATGTGGGTGACCTGAAAGAAAAATATGTCAAGACTGAAAATTCAATTGTAGAATCTAACAGCCAATTAAACAAAGTGTGTATTAATGTGAAAAAAGAATTACAAAAAGTTCAAGATTGGGAAAAATTCGAAGAAAGATACAAAGGACACTATTGGAAGGAGTTAACAGTGAATCAATACACTGCTATATCTAATGGGATAAAACTTATTAGTTATTTAGCCAAAAGAGATTTAGACTTTATGATCAGAATGCACTGTATTGAAGATGCATTTCATCTATTTTTGAGGAATTTAAATAGCAGAAAAGATATAACTTTAAGCAAAAGCGACGGTGTGAAAGTTTTTTTTTACATTATCATATCTCAAAGTTTTAATTATAATAATGATTAAATAATTTTTCTTTCAGAAATCGCGCTTGATCTTGTAAAAAAAACATTTGTATTAGAAAAGAGAGAAGAAAATAAAGTTGGAAAACATGAAGTGAATATGGTCAAAGTTGTGAGTGAGAGTTGGTCAAATTATCAATCAAAAGTTTTGAGGCTCTCAAGGCTATTTGAAAAATTGTAAAATATATCGAACAATGTAAGTAAATTTGTAAAAAAATATTTATTTTAAAACACTTGTTACTCATTCACTAATTTCTTCTTCATCACTGAAATATTCACTTTTTTTAAAACGTTTTTTTTGTCTTTCAGATGATTTTTGGTTGACTAGTTCAATTTTATCACTTGCTACGTTGTTCCTATACATTTCCATCTCTCGACGCTCTTGCTGTGGATTAGATATTAAAATTTAGATGAAAACATTTTTTTGTACAGTGCTTAGGATTATATTTTATTACTATTAAATTCATTGAGTGAATTTAATGAAAAGAACAAAGAAATTAGTCTTATTGTGATTAGTGTAGTTGCATTTTGAAGCAACTGCAAAGGTGATCAAGTGTGCCTAATTTAATTTTAGCTGTTATTCAATATAGTCCAAAAGAATAGTGTATCTTTATGTTTCATTAATAGTATATTAGTATAACGTTGTGAATAATGTATTGTCCATGTATAAGAATATTTTTATATTCATGACAATAGTTACTCAAAAGTTTATTTTATAGATAGAGTGTTCCTGTATCGATATGAATTGTATGAATTTTATTATGCCTTGTAAATTCTAAATGTTATGTTCACGTTGCTTACGTGTTAATTGTAATGTTATCCGTAACAAATTTAATCTTTAAAGTTGTAATAAATTTCTTTGGTAGTAAAAGAAAAGTTACTCACCTCTCTTTTAATAGCTGAACTTAATGTTTCATCCTCTGATTCTTCACTGTCTGAAAATGGTTGTTTCATTGACTGGTTTTCATTTAGTGCCGAACTGCTGTCATCAGAATCGTACTGTTCATTGTCGTCGTTGTCCTCGTGATGTTTCTTCCTTTTCTTTTTCACTTTTTTAGGTGGAGTTCTGGTACCTAAAGTATTTTTTTCACACTGATAAGACAAATGACCTTCTTCGCCACATTCATAACAATGTGATTTATCTGGATATTCTTTTCTTTTAATGAATTCTGTAGCTCTGCCGTTATCTTTTGCAATTGAACTTCTGATTGTGCGCCCTCCCATCTGTGTGGAAAAAAAAACTTTTATAATCATACTATTTGAGAAACAAGAATATTATTTAAAAAATATACCTCTGTATTATTGGTATTATACACACAATTTTTGGCGTCTTCAGGAGTCAAGAACAGTACAAATGCTACACCTTTGCTCTTTCTGGTGCGTTTATCCTTCACCACTGTCACTCTGAAAAACGTAAACTGCAATGTAAATTGAAAATTCCATTGCTGCGTAACGACTTTTTTCAACTCACTTGACTATTTTCCCATGAATCTCGAGTAATTTATAGATATCATTATTGGTTAACGAGAATGGTAAATTCGATATGTAAACAGTTGATCTGCTGGGAGCCAATTTGTTTGTTGCACCTGCATTACTAGTTGCTGCGCTGCTCATTTTGCGATCCAACAATCCAAATAAACAATAAAAAATTATGGAACTTGAGCTACTCAACGAGGAATTCTCGGTTTGTTTACTGTCGTCTGAAGTCTTGTTCGTGGGCTGCTGCGCGTCGTCTGCCTATTTACGAGTAAGCTAACTGTCAAGATAAAACTCCGTGTTATGTTGGCAGTAATGCACTGAATTCAATTAATTTGAAATCTCTTGCTCGAAAAATGTAGTAGCTGCGAAGAAAAAAAGATAATAATGATGATTATAACAATAAAATTATAAATTAAATAATTACGATTTTTCAACTTCAAATGGCCAGAATTCAAAATTTTGAAAGTTTGTCGTGTGAGAATAAATTTTACAAATGGACGTAAAATGATCTTCATTGATAATTTCATAGAAGCTTGAGTTGAAAGAAATAATTTTAATTTATTTGTAAGTTAAAAATGGTAAACGGCCATCAACTGAATAAGAATATTGATAAGAATATTTCTATCAAATTAATAAGAATATTTTTATCTAGATTTTAATAACTTACAAACTGCAAGACCGCGGTTTCAAAAAATACTCTTCGGATAAGAGGTCCATTGGGGAATGGAATGAATATAGGACGTTTCAATAAATATCACTATTTATTAGGAAAACGTATATTTTTATACATTTATAACGTAATATAGTAATAAATTTGTAGAAGTAGTACAAAGATCCAGTCTTGAATAGTGTTCAGGTGATATTCATAAACAGTCAGTGCGGTTCAACGATATAATTATACATTTACATGTATAAATAAGCTCGTCATCACAGTTGCGATATCGATGTATAAGTAAATAACAAACTATGCATATTTATATTTAATAAATTCTTTTTAAAAAAAAAGCTTAGGCCTTATTTGACTTAATTTTAATATAAACAATCATATAGTACGTGTAAATTGAATATTATTTGGATCAACCAAATATTTGTATAAGATCAAAATATTATCGTAAACTACATTTCTAGATAAATTACTGTGAACACCCATTGTATTAGGTATCGATAATAATTGGCTCTCTTATGAGTATTTTTAAAATTTTTTTACAGAATTCATACCTTTAACAACAAAAACATTTGCATCCTTTATAACAATTACACGAAAAAACGTCACAACATATAAAATCATTCTCTCTCTGCTTTCAAACCATTCATTTAAACGTCTCCGTTGTCATTGTTATTGTTGTTGTTGCCGCTCTTAGCCATTAATTCCGTCATATTTATCATCATCGGACTGCCGTGAACCTCCAGATCGAAGTCGGACTGCGACAGCGAGCTCTTCAGCACTCGATCCCACCTGTCGGCCACGGCCGTCGTCGGGTTATCGCCGCCGCCCAGCAAATTTGTCTCCGCTGCCGCTGCCGCCAGCAGCGAGCCGTTGTCGGCTCCGTCGAGGACGTTGAGGCAGCTCCTGGTGATGGCTGCGCGCCGAGCCTCGTGTTGAATTATGATCTCGTTGGTGATGTAGGCCTCGCGGCGTATCTTGTCGCGCAGCTTCGCGCTCATGTTCGGTATGCACCAGCGCACGATTATTATTATCACAGCCAAGAAGTTCTGCGGATCGTTATCGTCATTGTTTTAAATAAAAAATACTCGCGCAAGATGGTACATAAATAAGTCGCGGTCAAGTACCTCGAAAACGACGACGAAGGCGAGTCGAGCGGCGAGTATGTGCCAGAACAAATCGGTATACTGATACCGATTCGGCGAGTCCGGTGGTTCGCGATAATCCGGATAGTGGCAAATCTCGCCGCCACTGGTGCTGTTGCCGCTTATCATGCTCATCGTGGGATCGTCGCTCGTGTTGAATTTCGACAGCGAGTAGTCGAGGTAGCCGCCGAGAGATCGGTCCTTCGCCACGGCTAGACGATAGACCAGTCGTGGAATGAAGTTCGAGGTGAACGCTATGATGAAACCCTACAACGAACGTAAATAAAGGCAAATGTAATTTTTATACAATTTGTCCCGATTACAATATTTAGTGAGTTCTTATGATCAAGAAATTCCATTGATTTGAGTAAGATCTTAAATGATAAGTTACATGAGAACTACACTGAAAACGAATCTTAGAGGCAATTTCGACAAAAGTAGACAGCTGGATCAGGAAAAAGATATTTTCCTGTCACAGCAACATTATTGGGCTACATTTCAATGCAAAATTTTGCTAAATTTTTTGCTGCGCAGCAAAATATCTTTTTCCTGATCCGCAGCTGTTGTATTTTTGTTGGACTTGCCTTTAAGCCTTGCCAATTCACTCCTCTATGGCATTTTTATGATATAAATCACAGTTTAATGTCAATCTACATTTTGAACATAAAATGGAAATTTTTGAGCCCTAAAAAATGTGGAAAAAGTTGTAGATTAGGCCTATGCAACAAAAAATAGCTTAATTTTGATCAAATATCTTCAAAAAAGTATCCTTTATCTCAGCCCCATAAAGGGCTGAGTTTTGTGGAATTTTGATTTAGACGTTCAAATCAGTTCTATTATACAATAACTGTGCTGAAAAACAATAATAAATTTTATTTATTTCTTGCTTTTTTCACATCTGTTGGCATTCAAAATTTTTTTAACTCTAATCAAAATTCCAAAAAAATCAGACCATAAAGGATACTTTTCTGAAGATTTTGATCCCTACTAGGCATGGCCACCTAAATAACTCTGATCTGAACCTTGAGCACAGCGCCAAAATGCTAAAATAGAAAAAATAAGCTATTTTAAGATGCAAAGGCCAATTCTGCCACTTTTTTCACATTTGTTAGGGCTCAAAGACGTCAATTTTATGTTCAAAATGTAGATCGACATTTAATTGTGGTTTATATTAAAAAAATGACAAAGAAGAGTGAATTGGTGTAGGAAGTTAAAACGTACATTGGTGATGACGGAGAGCTTGGAGACCGAGTCGAGGATGCGATACCAGATGCCGATGTCGCGCACCCGTTGGCTTACGGGCCTGCGATACATCGTCAGCAGCTTCTTGGCGTCCAGCCGCATCTCCATCACGTTGTTGACCAGGGCGAAGAACGGCGCCAGCGGAAAGGCCGCGACGAAGATCGTCACGAAGCCGTACTGCAGCACCATCTCCAGGTACTCGGGGAACAGACTCCTGGGGCCCCACTCGACCAGCTTGTAGTCGCGCACCCACTGCAGATGCATGTACTTGCTGCCGCTGCTGCTGCTGCTGCTGCTGGGTGACGTCAACGGGTCCCCCCTTCGGCGGCTCACGAGTCTCAGGGTGTTCATGAGCTTCCAGAAATAAGGCAAGCACATCTCGAGGATGGCGTTCATGGTCTGCTTGCCGATCATGATGATGCAAAGCTGGATGCAAAGCTCGAGGAGGCAGCCGCCCGGGCCGCACTCCTCCTGGCGCGAGTCGAAGACCCGATTGTAGGCGCCCGGATGGCCGATGAACTTGCCCTTGAAGAAGGCTATGTAGAAGATCGAGGCGTAGTAGTTGACGAACTCGAGCAGATAGATCTTGAGGGTGAGACTGTCGTCGAACTCGGTCTGGGTGCGCTGGAGCTCGATCTCGGTGAGGCACTCGGCGAGCCAGACGTAGATCCAGTTGAACACGACGATGCAGCAGAGATTGATGCCGGCTGCCGTCACGGTGGTAAGGAGGATGGCGTAGGACGTGACCACGTTGTTGGAGCTGCCCTTAACGTCGTCGCCGTCGTTGTCGCTGTCGTTGCGAGACAGACCGTAGAGGGCCGTGAGCACGGACATCCGGTACAGCACGACTCCGAGCACGGCTGCCATCGCCACCGCGATCTACATGGGGTTTTTTTTTTACGTAATGAGTAAATAAGTGAGATAAAAATTGAAATGAAATCGGGAAAAGAGAATCGATGTATGGTTAAGTTTCCTTTTTTTTCTTTATTTAAAAAAGACATTTTTCATTGTGAGGATAAAAAAGGGAAATTTTAACAACTTATACTTTATCGTTCTAAAATTTCTTTTTATTTTTTACAAACGGCAAAAGCGAACAAAAATAAGTAAAATAAATAAACAAATAAAATAAAGACAATCAAATGAATGTATTATTAATTTCTTTGGTATATGCATTATGAATAGGGGTGGGTGATACCTAAAAAAAGTATCGATACTCAAGAATCGATATTTGTAAAGTATTTATTCTTTATAGCACTGCGTGGCATAAGTTCACATTTTAGGCACGCTTTTCGGTGGCATAAGTCGCACACTCTGGCACCGCTGGGCGCTGCGTTCGCATCACACTCGCATACGCTCGTGCGCTAACCTCACTTCGCGATACCAGTAAGTGCGACTTATGCATCGGAAAAGGGGGCATAAATGTGAACTTGGCACAGTACTATAATAGTACATTTTGCACCTAGGGAGTGAAAAACTGGAAAGTCTCGGAGCACGTGTAATTTATCATCCGAGGCGAAGCCGAGGTTTGAGGTCATTTTCTGGATCAATTTCCGATATATTAGTTTTCAAAATATATTCTTGTTGCATATATAAAGACACAACATCATGATATAAATCAGCCATCGGGTCTCGAGTTTCTGAATAGATGGGAGTTACCGATTGCAATCGCTCATTCACCTCGGTAAATTTTATGATGATGAAGTACAGAAACTTCATATACAACTCCGTTGGCGGGTCGTCCAAAATTGTAGATATATTTTTTGCTGTCTCATCTTTATTTTTGGCATGGTTAATTTCTTTTTCGAAATATACTTTTAACAGCCATAGCTTTTGGTAGTAACACGTATTGGTGGTAGACAGGTTGACGCACGCCATAAGTATACGTGTTGTTTTTGTTTTGATGCATCATTAACGCGTTATTTATTGTTCATAAGCTACCAAATAAAAATACAATAATTATGGGACGTAAAGTAAACTAAAAGAACTGAAGGAGGCGACTAAAAAAATATTATTTCTTCGATCACATGAAAAAATTATCATCACGGTAATTAAATAGAATTTTGATTGAAATAACAATATCTTTATTTATTTATGCACTTCATTTTATTCATTGTTTGGTATTATTATGATATATAATATTTTCAATTATTTTTCAATAACTACATATTATCTGGGTTTACTAAACGTATTTAAACATAAAGAAAATCAATTCATGACAATGACATAATTAAGCCTTAATTTATACATTTGAATTCTCATTTCGAGTTCAAGTTGGCTATACTGTGACGATCGATAAAACAGAACGATCAGCTGACTAGTGTAGTCGCCCGTGTCACAACGCTGCCCCCAGCCTAAAGTAACATTTTGGTTTTGCGCAGCGGGAGTAAAATGTTACTTTAGGTTGAGGTAGGCGGTAGCACAAAAATGTTGTACGATACTCGTGACATAGGGGACAAGTGTTACTTATGCCACTAGTATCGCAAAGTACTATTAAAGTTTCGATTTTCAGAAACAAAAACAATTGGAATTATTGAACATTTAAATTTTTATTTTAAATATAACTTAATTTACAAATTATTTAACATTTCAATAATATTATTATATATTAGCATCATATTTGTATGAGTTTTGGGTTTAAATCATATTTAAATGATATTCATGGTTTAAATTATTTTCTTGCATCCATTAATTTATGAACTATTAAAATTTTAATTTATTGTTTTAAATGTAACAGTTGCATTTTTTACATCCAATCATGCTCATCTCTTGAACTTAGGAAAAGCATCGTGTTTAAATGATCTCCATTTAATCGATTCCTGATATCTGATCAAAAAATATTACTCTAGGTTACACAAATACTCTAGCTTACAAAAATATTACACAGCTCTAGTTTTTATTTTTGTGATGATTTTCCGGGCTGTGACCGCGTTGTACGGTTCAAAATTTTTTTTCCACACGGCTAAAGTCAGTCGTGTATAATCATTCTTCTCGCTCGTTTTACATTATTTTTTTGCCATTCAATTTGTAACCTTTTTGGAGCTTTTCTAGCTCGAACAGGTCTTTCATTATTACGTTTTAATACATTTTTTATTACATTTATTTTACCGTCATTATCTGTTGGACCTACACCCATGAAACAAATATTATATAAATCTTCGTTTTTCAATTTTTCCAAAATCCTCCGACAGCAGAGAATCGGAAGCCGATAGTGTATCAGCACCCAGAAAGGATCTATCGCCCAGTCCAGGAAAAATCTTCTAGATACCTTTTCGACCAGATGCGCGGTGCAGGCTTCCAACTGCCTTGTAGGAAGCCAACGTATTTTATTCGGGAAATCCTTGTTATGAATCAGTAGATCTCTCACCTCTTTCGCTGGCAACTGAATCAGATCGTAAAGCGAACTTTCGGCTTCGCCCTCTCTTTCCGACCGAACCGTCCTTATCGTTATCTCTTTCGCTCGGCTCGCAAACTCCTCGTCGTCGAATAAGCGTTGTTCGGCATCCACCCCTTTCTCGAACAATTGGCCTTTGGAAAACGATTTCATAATCAACAAGGCATCGCCTTGATCCAGCTCGTATCCTTTATTCTCGAGATGTTCTACGCAGGCCAGAACTTGACACGCCGATTGCAATTTATCACAAGGACTTGATACATAAAGTCGGCTGAAGTAATCGTTGTCAGGAAAAACGAAGTTAGACACATCAGCACCACGATCCAATAGTGTACCGACCAAAATTGGCTTGAGATTCGCTACGGCCAATTCAAGCGGTGTTCGTCCTTTCTTGTCCCTGACGTCGAGTTGCACCGACCGATTCAACTCGTCGTTGATCTCGAAGAATAGTTTATCCAAACCATCATCGTTCAAATGCGGGTATCTTGTGCACCTTGCATGAAGAGGAGTTTCACCCGCCTCGTTGGTCGAATTTGGACTGGCGCCGTGCCTCAGCAGCCAATCCATCATCTTGCGATCAGAGTAGAACATGGCATTGTGAAGCGCTGTGTTGCCCCACTTGTCCCTAGCCTCGATCTGCAACGGCTTATTCGACTCGTCCATGATTTTCAACAAAATTTCCACCGAGAAATCGTATCCGTGACCAGGCTGACTGATAACGTGCAGAAAAGTGTCTCCTGCCTTGTTAGGCAAATTGGCATCGGCGCCTCGTCTCAGTAGCAATTCAACCGTCGTGGAACTCCTTCCCAACCGGCTTTGCAGTGCCATGTGCAGTGGTAAATCACCCGTCGATTGCACGCGGCGATTGGGATCCTGTCCAAGCTCGAGGAATCTCTCGACTAAGTCGTCGAAGCCGCACGCGCAGGCCACGTGGAAATGTGACAATCCAGACTCGTCGATGTAATTAACGTCGTTGTATATTAGGAAGAGATCTCGAGCGATGGACTCAGCTCGATCGAAGTTATTACCGTACAATACGTAATTTTTTATCGAATGAAGCGGTGTCGTGCGGCGCAACTCCGCTCGGTCAGTTTCGACATCGAGGTCAGGCGCGTCCCTGTAGCCGGAACAAGCCACGAATTTGATGATCAGTTCTCCTGGATTATGATCAAGGTGGAGTTTCATCAAACAATAATTCACTGCAGTCGAGAGGATACGTTCAATCTCGTCTCTTCGACAGTAAGTTAGTAGGTTTGGAAGCGGACCCTCCCAATACAGAATCGGAAAATAATGTTCTTCGAGATCTTGTTTGGTGAACGTATATCTGTTGTATAATCGCTCGAAATTATTACGGGTGCACCCGAAGTTTTGAAAAGAACGTTGAACCTCATAAAAATGATCCGTGTACGTCGACATTTTGCACGCTCGAGCTTGCACAACACACGCGGTAATCCTATATATTAAGCGTTGAATGAGTCTCGCGCTAAGAGTTCTGGCCTCCCCAAAAAATCTGGAAAACCGATGACTAAAAAAAAAAATAATTTTATTATATATATACCTTGTATTTACAATGTATATGGGTCAAAATAATACTTTTTTACGAAACCGTGCGCACGTATGTCACCAATCTTGACGCCCTTTTGGTATTTTATAGTACATGGTAAAATGGTCGCAAAACCAGAATTTTAGACCCCCTCCCCCTTCCTACCCCCCACTTCCGGTATAAACATCCATTTTCGATCTATATTTTTTCTGAGGACATGAAGCAATTAAAAAATCTGAAAAAATTCACAAAAATACTTTTCAACAATCCAAATAACCATGAATTTTTTCAGATTTTTTAAGTGCTTCAGGCCTTCAGAAAAAATCATTGAAAATTCTGAAAATCGAGATACGGCGATATGAGCCGATATAGTAAACGGAAATTTTTTCAGTTTTTTATTGCATTGAAAAACATAACCTCAATTTTTTTCAGATTTTTTCAGATGACCTAACGCACTTTTTGAAGCCAAAAGCCGCTTTTTTTGACGAAAATAATTTTTTTAGGACAGTACGGAGCCTCGAAAAATCTGGAAAAAATTTTTTCTTGATCCCCTGGGCGAAAGTACGCGGTTTCGCCATCGATTTCGATGGCAAAAGTTTTACTTTTAGCCACTGCTATTTCGCTTTTTTTTTCACTGCGCGTAGCTTTGTCACCTAGCAACCGTATATTGTTATTCGAGGTTTTAGTTCGGATAATCAATCTTGTTTATAATACGTAGCGAAATGAGCCAACGTGTTATTGAAAATGAATTTTCAGCGACCAAAGACTCCGACGATAAAAATGAAATTTGTCGAAAATTCGAAGAAGAAGCTGACTTGATTAGGCTATAGCCGGTATATGCTAGTTCAAATATAATACAATCATTGGGAGTAAATTCAATTATAAATTCTACGACAAATACTCCTAAATCTTTTAAAGATTGTACTTTTGTTAATTTTATATTTA